TTGATAGAGTGCAGGCAGGAAAGGTGTTGAATAAATCTGAGCTGTTGCACTAGATAGAGCCTTGAAATACCTTTTCACCGCAAACCTCTGTCCTGGTAATCCAGTAAGTAAACGTTTATTAAGAGAAGAGTATATAAAAATAAGCAAATGTAAAAAGGAGAATAAAATTTCCAAGATAGTCAAGATTCCAAAATCCTTTCAAATACTGTATCAAGAGTCAATCCACAGATATATCCATAAACGTGATAGCATGAATCCAATGCAGGCAACCTATGCTAGAAACTAGAAACAGGAACAAACTTACAAACTTGAATACATGAATAAAAAAATGTAGGATCTGAAAATGAGAGCTGTTCACCTGACTACACATTATAAGAACTTTTCCAAATTGAAATTTAGTTTCTTAGTCAAAACAGATCCCCCACCCGGCTGTACCTGCTGCCATGAATTCCCAGGCTGTAAATAAAATACAGTACTTAAAGTCAAGGGAGTACTTAACTGGCTATATTGTTTATTCAAAATGATTGCATTGCTAAGTAGATGGTCCCCATCTAGATTCCTGTACTGGCTGTTTGATTATCCAAACATCAGGATATTCATATTTTATTGCCACTCAGTCTATTTGGAAACAGATTGTTTGTCCTTGTTAATGGGTTTGTGAATCACTTAAGTAGGTATTGAGGCAAACGCTGACATTAAACTTATTCAGATCTTAACAGAGTCCAACAATTTTATAGTGCTCCATCCCCTCAATCTTTCCCTCGCTCTCTCCCTCCTCCCCCCCCCCACCTCTCTCTCTCTTGGAGGAAAGCCTGGGTGCTGTTTTGTTTTAGATGTTTGTGGTAAAAGTGGAGACTCAGAATATGCCTCTTAAAGACCACACTTAATATTAATTTACTGCATCATTTAAACTAAGTAGTCCCACAGCCAAAAATCATAACTGTAACAAAAAATAAAATAGCAAATGACTGTTTTCCACATTCTCCAATGTATTGACTTTTTTCATATGTTCAAAAACTGAAAAGAATGAGACACATCTCATAATGCTGAGAAAGATTTTCATTGAGCTTGGAGAAAAATACTTTTGGGACTGTAACTCTCAGTATCCTCCCAGCCAACAAGGCCATTCTCCATACTGGGTGTAGAATTCTGAGATTTGTAATCCAAAATAACTAACTTTTCTGAACTCTGCCTTTTTAACCTCACATGTGATGAAGGTCTCTGATATGTTGAACTCAATGTTAACTGGAGTAGCTCAAGTGAGATCGAGCTTCTTTCTATAGGAGATAAATCACCAATGTTTTAGCACCTTCTTCACTATAGCCTGGGGTAGGTGTGTGATGCACAGGAAGCAGTCTGAATGTGTCTTGTTCCTTTTGGAAGAGCCAGCTTCCTGACAAAACCATCCAGCTGTTTCAGTTGCCCTTGTGAACACATCTGTTTCTTTTCGCAGTTGGAGAGAATAGCATTCGCCTGCTGTCATTGCAGTTGACGTTCCTTTTCCTATAAGCAGTTGACCCTTCTCAGCCTTTGACGCTGGGCCTGGCAGAATGGGCTGGGAAATCCAGAGCAGCACCCCCACCGTTCTTCAGCAACATGAATGCTTTACTTTAACTCAGCACCGCGTGATCAGCTGGTCTTTTGATTATTTTTTTCTTGTAGCAAAGAATGAACGCACAGCTAGAAGTTGAGTGCTTTCCGTCAAAGTAATCTGCTCAGAAAATGGATGGTATCAGCTTAGAAAAATTTGACAGATGTTGCGGAGATGCATGGGGAGCATGAAAGGTGGCTGTGGTGGCAGAGGAACTGTTGTTAGCATTCATTGTTTGATGTGGATGATTCATAGTTGCCTTTTTACACTCCATTTACAGTTCTGTCTCATTACTTATACTCAGCTTCTATCAAAGTTCTGTTTGAGGACTAACATCTTCCAGAATCCCCTAGGTTCATGGATCCCCTAGGTTCATGGATTTTGGAAATTGTCCCTGAATTATCCAAGCTCTAGCCAGCAGCCCTTGTTCCTTGCAGAGACCTCATGCTACATACGAATAGGATACAGTGTAGAAGAGTTGAGTTAGATCTGAATTAGCCTGAGTTGAAATCCCTACTCAGCTACACACCTCACTCAATGGTTTTGGGCCAGTTGCTCTTTCTCAGCCTAACTTACCATGCAGGGCTCCTTGTTGCACAAAATGAGATGAGACATGTACAAAAGCTTACAATTCTTTTATGGGTTGCATGGTTAAATGTTATACACAATGAACACTGACATTGACATAACTTTGAGGGCAAGATAATGATACAGGGAAAGAGGATTGATTCACTACTTTGTTTGGCTGTGATATTTTCCCCAGAACATCTTATCCTCATATTTGGAGAACTCTATCATTCTTCCTCCACTTCTTTTCTCATTTCATTTTTATCACATGTTGCACCCAATGTGTTTTACAGAATACTCTTCCTACTTAAGAGTCACTGTGCTTTATGGTATAAGTGATGACTTTAGAAATCAGAGTCCCAGTCCCCTTTTAGCCATGGAAACCCACTGGGTGGCTTTGGACAAATCACACTCTCCCAGCCTCAGAGTGAGGCAAAGGCTAATATTTTCTAAAGAACCTTGCCAGTTGGAAATAACATGAAGGCTCATAGCAACACGCTGTTTCTTCCCTTCCCTTCAAATCTATATCAGAGACAGGAGATGACATGATATAATAAATGCAGTTTGACACACTTTAACTGCCATGGCTCAATGCTATGGGATCCTGGGATTTGTAGTTTGGTCAGGCACCAGCAGTTTTTGGCAGATATGTCTGAAAACCTCATAATACTGCAACTCATTGAGCTATGTCAGTTAAAGTGGCTAAAGCTGTGTCCAGCTGCATTTATTCTACAGTGTAGATATACCCTTTAACATAGTGGTTCTCAACCTTTTTTTTTAAATTAGGGACCACTTGACCAAGAACCACTTTGACCAGGGACCACTCTCCAACATTAGTACCAAAGGGGCTATGAATCAGTTTTTGATCAACTTTAGATTCAGTTGGTTATTGGAGTGCTGATTCAGAAAATTACACTGGATAGACCACATCAACTCTAATTTCTGATACAGAACATGGACCACCCAGTAATTGCCATCTGCTTGCTCACAGAAAACCATATTTAATAATCTAGAGCTGATGTGGTAGTAGTAATCTTTTGTGGGTAGTCAGCCTCTCCCCTCCTGACATCCCCGTTGCCTCAGCACCATAAGAGGGTTTTGCGAGATCAGTCGCTCTCATTGCTGCAAGGTTTTGAGGCAGTGGTGTAATGATAGACCATTTGTTCTTGCGGACCACAGGTTTGGAACCACTGCTTCAAGAGAACCAATATATTGGCTTTCTAGTGTAATGGTTAAGAGTGTTCCATTTCAATTTGGGAGATCCAGTTTCAGTTCCTCTCTGAACCATGAAACTCACTGGATGATCTTGGATCAATATCTCCCTCAGCTTCACCTCACAGTTTCTATGAGGATAAAGTGGAGAGGAGAACCATGTATTTCATATTGGGCAAACTTATTGGAAAAAAGGTGGGATGCCAATGTTAAAGAATAGAATGACCTTTCATACTTTGCCAGATATTCATGCTCTGAGGGAATCTAAGTTGTTTCTTCCTGCCTTCTGCAATGGCTTGAGCATTTTGAAATATGTCCCGTTTTGTCTAGGGATTTCATTGAATACTCCCTGTTTCTGCTTCCCTTGTGACATTTATAGTAAGGAAGTTATTGTCCTAGTGTGTGTAGAAAGGAAAGTACAATGGCAAATATGCCCAGAGCTTTGTACTTTCCATCAAATGACATTAATACTTTTGTTTCTTATTTTTTCCAAATGATGTTGTATCCTTTTCAGGAACTTATTTAAAAATGTGTACATACCAGCACACCACTTCTGCAAGTTTTGGAAACATTGCTTTTTGGACAACAACCCCTAATATTTCCTACCCAATGTGACTACTGGCTATGTTTGTTTGGGGATTCTGTGTTGCATCGAAAAGAGTATCTTCTCTAAGATCTTCCACTTGCTCTTTTGGAGCAGTAATTGTGTGATCTAAAGTTTAAATATAGGGTTAAGGACATTCTTTATCTCTTGTCATAAGAGTTTTCTTTTGCATATTTAAACTAGGTCCACTTAGTGTGTGGCATGGTCATAAATAATTCTCTGGATCATTTCTGAACAAGTTTTTTTAATGTCCTTAAAAATAAGTGTTTGGCCATCATAATGAAGGCATGATGAAATCTGATCCCGATAGCAAAGTACCAGTGGAGGGCTACAGCATACTGATTTGAATGTGTTTCTGAGTTATGTTTAACCAAGCCTCCCTATTATTATAAACTCCAGTGAGATCAGGAAAAACAAAGAATTGTGCCAAACTTTGAAGTGCAGAAGTTTCACTCCTTGTGTTTCACATATTTCATAATAAATATGTCATTTTGATGTTTGTACATCAAAATGTTTCAGTTACTGTTGGCATACAGTAGAGAAATGTATGGAACATCTCTTATGTTTCCTGTTTTCAGTTCAACACTTGGGTCAGATTTTTTAAAGCTTGTCCATTTTTAGGCTAACTTAAAACTGGGAAACACACTGAAAGCACCAATTTTGGTTTCGCATGGGGATTTCAGTCTAAATTCTAAAAGTGTATTACAGTGTTGGACAAGAAGCTTAGGAGACCACATTTAAATCTCCATTTAGATGTGGTGGAAACCCATTGAATGATCTTGTGCAAATCATACGCCTCCAGCCCAAGAAGACAACACTGGCAGACTTCTCTGAATAAATCTTGCACACACAAAAATCTGTGCTAAGGTTGTCATAAGTCAAATAACATACATTATAACATTTCAGAATGTTATAATTCTGAAAAGTTCTACAAATTCTAGTTTGTTCAAAGTTCTGTGAAAGCCATTGTTATATCAGTGATTATTGCATAAACACATTTACAAATATTTTTTCTATCTGTTTCAGCTCTGGAACAGCTGCTCACAGAACTGGATGATTTTTTGAAGATACTGGATAAGGAAAACCTCAGCAGCACAGCAATAGTGAAAAAGAGTTTCCTTGCCGACCTCCTTCGTCTGTGTACAAAATCAAGTAGTAAGTACTACTATGTACAAAGACATTGTTTTCGGTAAACATGGTGTTGCATTTTGGCTGCACTATTTGGAGCAGCAGGTTGCTGATGCCCACACAGACCTAATTTCCACCACCTTTGAATCTTATCTAAGGTGTCTCCAATTGCATGGAAAGACAACCCAACTATCTTTGTTCTCTCCTTTCCTCTCTTTTCCCTGGCAGGGAATGACCTGAGTTAGTCAAGCTATTAACTGTTACCTGGTCATTGCAGGAGGTCTCTTAATTGTACTGTAATGTTATCGTTAGTCTATTGTATTTGTTTTTCTAACTGTTTTAAATCCATATTTTAATATAGATGTTTATTTAATTACCTTTTACCTTATGTATGATCAGTTTTTTTTAAAAAAAAAACTTTGCTGCTATTGAAGCTATTATAGTCAAGTTGACTTGGACATATGGAGACCCCTTGAATGAGAGACCCCCTTGACTTCAGGTCTTGCAGATTCAGGGCTATGAATCCTTGATTTGAGTCTATCCATCAGTAATACATTCTTCCTCTTTTCCAAACACTTCCACTTTCCAAACTTTATTGCCTGTTCTAGTGAGTCATGTCTTCTCATGGTATGTCCACAGTATGACAGTCACAGTTTAGTAACCTTACCTTCTAGGAAGAGTTCTTGGCTTGATTTGCTCTAACACTTTTTTGCTTTCCATGGTATATTGTCTAGCTTACTTACTTACTTACTTACTTACTTACTTACTTACTGCTAAGGGGATCCTTCATAGCCCAAGAATGATGATCCTCCCAGTGTAGTGTTTTGATGGTGGGTTCGTAGGTGGCTGTAGAGCCATATTCTTGATCTGCATATTCCCCCTCAGTGAGAACATTGCTTTCCAGGTGGAAGGTGGTCCCGATCAGGATTGGCTTGACCACCTTCCTCTTGGCACGTTTCTCCCCTTCACCCTCCACTCATGCATCTTTGAATTCTGCAGCACTGCTGGTCACAGTGACCTCCAGTTAGAGTGCTCAAGGGCCAGGGCTTCCCAGTTCTCGGTGTCTATGCCACAGTTTTTAAGGTTGACTTCAAGCCCATCTTTAAATCTCTTTTCCTGTCCACCAGCATTATATTTCCTGTTCTTGAGTTGGGAGTATACTAACTGCTTTGGGAGACAGCGATCGAGCATTTGGACAATGTGGCCAGTCCAGCAAAGTTGATGGCATAGGAGCTTCGCTTCAATGCTGGTGGTCTTTGCTTCTTCCAGCACACTATTTGTCTGCCTGTCTTTCCAAGAGATTTGCAGGATTTTTCAGAGGCAACGCTGATAGAATACTTCCAGGAGTTGAGTGTGACATCTGTAGACAGTCCATGTTTCACAGGCGTATAAGAGGGTTGGGAGGAGAAGCAGCTTGATAAACAAGCACCTTGGTCTCCCTACAGATGTCCCAGTCCTCAAACATTCTCTGCTTCATTCGGAAAAAAGCTGCACTTGCAGAGCTCAGGCGGTGTTGTGTTTTAGTTTCATCATCAGTGTTCTCCAGCATCACATTTCAAATGAATTGAATTTCCTCTTAACAACTTCCTTCACTGTTCAGTTTTCACAACCACACATAACAATTGGAAATGGCATGGACAATCCTGACTTTACTATTCAATCTGTACACTTCAGAGTCTTGTCTAGTGCTTTCATAGCTGCAAGAGCACAGGCTGTTGAAAGGCCACTGTGTAATGGACTCATGTTTATCCATTATGCCGGGGGGTGGGGGGACAAAATAGCTGCAGACAAACAATCTTTCATGGCTAGGTTTAAAAATGTTCTGCATGTATGTATGCAATACAAATATGCACAAAAGAATAAGGAGCTTGTATTCCTTGCTTTGTAGGTGGGGATGAGGAATATATTTACATGAACAAAGTCACAATCAACAAGCAGCATGGTGAACTAGAGAAATCAGACAAAGGTAGGAATTGATGTCTTTCACTGGTTGATGAATGTATTTATGTATATTAAAGGAGACAAAAGCTCATAGAAATGAGATGTTTACATGTACATTTTTGACAGTAATTATTTCAGACTGAGCCAAAGAATGCACACACTCTGCATATGTAGTTCATCTTTATTGCATTAAGCATGTATTAAAATTTTGTTGTTGTTTCAAAATTAAATAACAACAAAGCAAATTACTGCAGGGGGAAAATTATCACATGCACCCTTTTAATGGTTATAGTGTCCAAAGATTCTGTTGTGGAAAGCTTTCGTGGCTGGAATTCCTGGGTTGCTGTGAGTTTTCCAGGCTGTATGGCCATGCTCCAGAGGCATTTTCTCCTGATATTTCGCCAACATCTATAGCAGGCATCCCCAGAGGTTGTGAAGTCTATTGGAAACTAGGCAAGTGAAACGTCAGGAGAGAATGCCTCTGGAACATGACCATACAGTCCAGAAAATTCACAGCAACCCAAATCCAAAGATTCTGTTTTTAAACTATAAAGTATATTTTCCATCATGGTGGTCTAGATGTGCAGATATCTGTTCACTTGCGAGAGAAGAATCACATTGTTTCAGTGCCATTTGCTTTGGCCAAACTTCTTGATAACTAATACTTATGAATCTACTTTTCCAGTATTATTTAAAAGTACATGTGTAAAACACTCCAGTAGCCTGACATGATAATAAGCAAAATGCAGATTACATAAGGGGTTGCTCACACATCCTAGTTTGCACTGTGTGTACAAACACTCAGATGCTTCTGAGAATGTATCTATATTCATTCCTGATTTGTGCCCAGATACAAAAATCCTCTGAAATCTGGGATGGAAAACAAGTGTATAGCAATACTGTAGTCACATGAATATATATATGTTCATGGAGATTTTATGACTGTGAATAAAAGTTTGAAACAGATTTATATTAAAACACACACACTGTGCACAATTAAACTAATTATTGTTATTATGGCTTTGTTGGAACAAATAACTTTTTCCAGCATGCATAACCATAAACAAATCCAGTTTTACAGTCTTATTTCTGCGTAGGAGGGCAACGGTTATTTTATGAATAGCTGTTTAATTTTTAAAAAAATCTGTTCAGATAAGACTATAAAAATGTCTTATTTCTACTATTTATTAACTATTTTCATGTCAAAAGCCTTGCATAGAATGTTGCAAAGTAATGCCTTTGGATTGGAAAGATTAGCTGTTTACAAGAAACGTTGCCGAGGGGACACCCAACTGTATTTATTCAATCTTCGCGGAGGCTCTTTCTGTATCCCCCATTTATTAACTGAAATGCTTTAATAATGTAAATAGCAGTGTAAGCCTGGACACCCCTGTGTAAGTATATGTAGTGAGGTCACAAGAGAGGTGTGGGTAGTGCAGACACCATTAGCAAGGGTCAGGCCCGTAGCCAGGATTTCGTTTCGGGGGGGGGGGGGGCTAAAAAAATTTCAGGGGGGGTTTCGGGGGGGCTGAGTCTGAGTGAAAGAGGGTCTAGCCTAGCAAACCTTTTGTATCATTACCCCAATACCCCATGCATATGGGATATATTGAGTATGGTGATCAGATCATGATATGAATAAACATAACAGTTTAAATAATGCACCAGTAAGGCCTTTCGGACCACCATGAGAATTTCGGGGGGGGGGGGCTGAAGCCCCTCAACCCCCCCCCCCCCGCTACATACCTGGCAAGGGTGACACCATAGAATCAATTGTGCAAGAACACAAGTCATGCGGGAATACAAACAAGTCACCCCCAACAGATGATCATCCAGCCTCAGCTTTAAAACCCCCAGAGAAGGAGACTCAACCACTCTTTGAGGCAGCATATTCCACTGCTGAACAACACACTGCCTGGATTGTTCTTCCTAATGTTTAGGTGGAATCTTTTTTCCTGGAATCTGAATCCATTGCTCCATGACCTAGTCACTAGAGCAGGGGTCTTCAAACTAAGGCCCGAGCACCGGATACAGCCCTTCAAGATCATTTACCCGCCCCTCACTCAGTTTCAACCTAAATCTGAAACAGCTGGTAAACAAACAAACAAATAAATAAATCTCATCACCCAAAAGTAGGCCCACACCCCCCATTGAAATACTAATAATTTTATATTTGTTAAAATTGTTCTTCATTTTAATTATTATATTGTTTTTAATTTTTTTTGCACTACAAATAAGATATGTGCAGTGTGCATAGAAATTCATTCATTTTTTTTCAAATTATAATCCGGCCCTCCAACAGTTTGAGGAACTGTGACCTGGCCCTCTGTTTAAAAAGGTTGTGGACCCCTGATCTCGGGGGGGGGGGGGGGGGTGGGGGGGGGTGGGGGGGGGGGGGCTGAGTCTGAGTGAAAGAGGGTCTACCCTAGCAAACCTTTTGTATTGTTACCCCAATACCCCCATGCATATGGGATATATTGAGTATGGTGATCAGATCATGATATGAATAAACATAACAGTTTAAATAATGCACCAGTAAGGCCTTCTTGCAGACCACCATGAGAATTTCGGGGGGGGGGCTGAAGCCCCTCAAGCCCTCCCCCCCCCAGGCTACATGCCTGCCTCTATTTAAAAAGTTTGAGAACCCCTGCTCTAGAGTAACAGAAAACAAGCTTGCTCCCTCCTCATTGTAACTGTCGATAAACTTGTTGTGCATTCTGACTTGGTGCTTTCGCCTGATTCAGATCCAGGTGGGACATCCCAAGGGCTGGTCCACATAGTGGTAGATGGGACCCCTACAGAATTCTAGTTCTTGTATGATGGCACCAATCCTAGTGATGCCACTGAGTACATGTTCATTTCATGTGGAAACTACAATATAGGATGTGGGGCTGCTGTGCTCCAAAAAGGAAAAGATATGCAACATAAATAAGCATCGAATTCCCTTCTAGATCGTGAGAACACAGTAATTCTTCCCCTGGCCCATTTACTGTCCTATCCAGGGCTAATGGGAATTATTTCACAATAATTCTGTACTTCTCTGATATTATTTCTATTGCTAAAGTGTGAAGGGTTGCCACATAGTGTACTTTGATTCATGAAACTGTGTGTATAATTCATGAAACTACAGTGTATAATTAATGCAGTTTGATGCCACTTTAACCACAATTGCTCAATGCTATGGAATTGTGGGAGTGGTAGTTTTGCAGAGCCTTTAGCCTTCTCTGCCAGAGATTGCCGATGCCTCACCAGACTGCAACTCTTACGAATCCAAGGCATCAAGCCGTAGCAGCTAAAGTAGTGTCAAACTGCATGAATTCTGCGGTGTAGATGCACCCTTAGATAAACCAAAATTGCGTCACTATAAGTAAGAAATAAGAGAGACAACTTGGTTCTCAGATATTTATTTTGGTGTTTTGATTATCTGATGGGGTGGGAATCATATGCACAAAAGGATATGATATAAGAACAAGAATAACATCAGTCTCACAGTACTGCATGTTCATTTATTAATTTATGAAGTTTGTCCATGTAGCCATCCTGTTCGTAACATACTAGTTCATAACCTTGGCTCTCCAGTGCTCAATCCCCAATATCGCTGACCACTGATTGGGGCTTTGGGATAATCAAATCCAACAATATATTGGGACTGGAATTTGTGAACCTTGGTTCTCAGCCTATGGGTCCCCAAATGTCTTGATCTTCAACTCCCAGAAATCCTAACAGCTGGAGAACTGGCTGGAATTTCTGGGAGTTGTAGGCCAAAACACCTGGGGACTCAAAGGTTGAGAATCACTGCTCCAATAGATTGCTGATCTGAACATTACGTCAAGTTCTCATATTTTAGCTTTTATGGTAGCCCTGCTTGCATTTGACATACAGACCATTACGGTTGGTAGTGTGTACATGGAAACTCTTTGATTTGGTCTTGTTACCAGGTGCCTCACAAATAAAAGCAAATATCAGGAAATCCAAGAAGGCACACGAAGGACAACAGATGTCTAATTTACTTGGTTAATAAGATCACAGGATGCTCTGGATCTTGCTTGACTGCTCCATAGCAGGATGTAAATGCAGACCTATTATTGTGGCTTCCCAGATACAGTCTGAAAAGAGCAGTGGTTCTAACTTTTCTTTTAAAATCATATAAGTATGCAGGAACATTCATGGAAGGTTCTTCCTGGATCCACTTTAAATTATGCATAGCAACTTGATTATCAGCAGACTAATCAAACCTGTTTTGCAATGGCAGTTTTACATAGAGTATCTGTGGCTGGCACAATAATTTCCCAATAGGAAAAAAAGTATGCCTACCAGATTTGAAAGTGGCAGGGGTCTGTTTGGTTTCTTTTGATTGTGTATGTTTTAAAGCCGTGGTTCTCAACCTTCCTAATGCTGCAACCCCTTAATACAGTTCCTCATGTTGTGGTGACCCCAAACCATACAATTATTTGACCCCCAACTATAAAATTCATAACTGTAATTTTGCTACTGCTACGAATCGTAATGTAAATATCCAATATGCAGGATGTATTTTCATTCACTGGACCAAATTTGGCACAAATGCACAATATGCCCAAATTTGAATACTGGTGGGGTGGAGATAGGGATAATTTTGTTATTTGGGAGTTGTAGTTGCTAAGATTTATAGTTCATCTACAATCAAAGAGCATTCTGAATTCCATCAATGATGGAATTGAACCAAACTTGGCCCACAGAACTCCCATGACCAACAGAAAATAATTGGTTTTGTGTGCATTGACCTTGAGTTTTGGAGTTGTAGATCACCTACCTCCAGAAAGTATTGTGGACTCAAACAATGATGGATCTGGGCCAAACCAGGCACGAATATTCAATCTGCGCAAATATAAACACTAGGGGAGTTTGGGGAATATAGACTTGACATTTGGGAGTTGTAGTTACTGGGATTTATAGTTCACCTACAATCAATAGCTTTCTGAATCCCACCAATGGTAGAACTGGGCCAAACTTCCACACAGAACCCCCATAACCAAGAGAAAATACTGTGTTTTCAGATGGTTTTTAGCGACCCCCTCTAACACCCCCTCACTACCCTCCCCCCAGGGGTCCTGACCTCAGGTTGAGAAACACTTTTTTAAAGCCCCTTGAATCCACTCAGATATGAAAACACTAGGAATTACCTTTTGAATGGAGACTGGAAACTTTCCATATTATTATAGTTAGTTTGTGATAAAATTTAGAAGCAACAACGGTGCTGTTTTAAGTAACTACTTTGTGGTTAGCAGTCATCTGTTTCCACTCTCCATCCAGCCCTGAGGAAAAGAAAGAAGCTACTCCTTATTTCCTTTCAATATAGTCAAATCTCTCTCCTGTCTTTTCTTCCTAGATTTCTTGTCTAATTGTAGATCCCAAAATTATGAGGTCAGCTAAGCCATATATCACTTGGAGTCTAACTGTAAATCAGACTGGAAGAATCCACATGCTTGCTGAGACTGTAGCTTTTTCTCAGGTTGAGCTCAGTCTGTTGGACTTAAGAAAAGTTTGCAAGTTTAAATCATTCTCAGCAACAGTAATGACAGGGTGAATACCGAGGACTGCTCAATATAGATGACAGACATTCCTTGCAAGTAGATTATTTTTGAGTCATCTTGGCCTTTACAATGTTCTGTCTTGAGTAAGTATCTCCCAGGAGACCTACAACTAGTAATAAAATATGTTCTGCTTTTTCACCGTATTCCTGGAGATGGTTTCAAGTGCCATTTTTGTAGTCACAAATGTACCACTGCTTAGGAATGCTGTACTTCCTCCAAAACAAAAGCATGGCTTCTAATAATGCTACTATGCATAGCCGATGTAATGAACTGTTCGGGTGTTGTCATTTCTGTTTGGACCACAACATTAGGTCACAGAGACTCCTTGACCAATGGAGAAGCAGAGCAGCATTTATCTCCTCCTCAGAAGAGTTTGCCCGACCTTCCACCTTCCAAAATAGTAAGTCTTGTTTGTTCCTTTATCTCCTTTGAATATATGCAACCTTTTTTTGACCAGGGATCACTTGACCAGGGACCATTCTCCAGCATTAGTACCAAAGGGGCTATGAATCAGTTTTTGGTCTATTTTATATTTGGTTTGGTTATTTGGTTGCTGATTGGGAAAATTGCATTGGATAAACCACATCAGCTCTAGTTTCTGATGCAGAACATATGGCATCCAGTAGTCTCCATCTGCTTGCCCACAGAAAACTGTATTTAATAATTTAGAGCTGATGTGGTAGTAGTCTTTCGTGGATAGTCAGTCAGCCTCTCCCCTCCCAACATCCTCATTGCCTTGGCACTATATGAGGGTTTTGTGAGACCAGTCACTCTCGTTGCTGCATGGTTTTGAGGCAACAGTGTAGTAATAGTGAGGCTGCTGACCTTATTTTCATTCTTGGAGACCACTGGTGGTCCATAAACCAAAGGTTGGGAACCACTGCTATATAACAATAACATAAGCTGTATTGTGTTGTAGCATAGAATGTATTCGAAAGCAAGTTTTATATATTTCTGCATCTGAGGGTCTCAGACCTCTTTCACTCAGAAATAATATTTAAGTAACTATTAAACCTGTAGAGAGCACTAGTTGTGTTCTAAAGATTGACAAATTATTTATTGAAAGTGTTTCCAAATACCAAAGTCTGTTTTATTTGTCGTTTCTGTTTATCTTGCTTTATTTCCAAACACTGCATGTTGTGGTTCAAGCTTGGACTGCACACCAGAATGAGATCCTTAACTGATACTCTTCTTCACACTGTGAATTAAACCACAGTGTCCTCGTTCAGACATAACAGGAAACTGTGGTTTAACAAGCCCTGTAAGTTTTTAATAGTTGCCTGGGAAAGAAAGAACAAGGAGGTGCCCATGTACATAAGCATTCTTGTCTGATCTAGGCCTTCATCCATCTTTTGGATGTTAGCCAAATTACAACTTTTAAAATATATATATTTGCACAAAATTTATTTCAGAATTAATTTCCAGTAACTGCAGCATGATGCACAGATTTTGTTTTTGAACTAAGTAATTCCAGATGGTGAATGAGTATTCATGTAGAATTATATCTCCATTGTGTAAAAAAATAGTTTTCTGGGATATTTTTCAGAAAACCGTAATGAGCAATGTTTTCCTTCCCCAAACAATGCCTTTTCCTTTCAAGCACAGTGAGTGCAGGTCTTTTTGTTTAGAATATTCAGCATAAGATTAGGAATCTCAGCTGTTCTGAGCCATAAAAATACAGAAGATTTGAAAGAAAGTGTGTGTGGTGTGGCGGGAGGTAAAGCCTGTGGGTGGTCTGTTGGGTGAAATGGCTGTGTGAACAGCAGTCAAAGGGTGATTTGAGGATTATTGCTGTGAAATTGTACTTTAGGGAGTTTAATGGGTGGATGCATTTGAGATCGCTGGGAAAAGGAAGCCTGGGAGGAAAAGAGCCTCTGAGATGCATTGCGTTGCTTTTGCTTTAATGAATACATTCCATGTCCCAAGGAGGTTCCAACTGGTTGTAACTAAATCTGTTGTTTTAAATTGAGACAGTGCCTTTCCCATTGACTCCTGTCCTGTGTGTATGTTAGTTACACTCACATGAGAATGCATGTTTACATATATGATTAAATGCATGTGTTTTCTTTTATAAGTATTCTCAAAACATTTTTTTCTATATTTCCTTCCTAAAATGCATGTTCCAGAGGGCATTTTAATGCATCCTTTGAGTTGAGAAAAGAATTGGAATATCAAGGTCATGTGTAACTCAGGCCCCTTCTACACAGCCATATAAAATCCAGATTATTTTATTTGAACTAGATTATATGAGTCTATACTGCCATCTATTCCAGATTATCAAAGCAGATAATCCACATTATCTGCTTTGAACTGGATTATCTGAGTCTACACTGCCAGATAATCCAGTTCAACACAAATAATCTGGATTTTGTATGGAAGAAGCATATGATGAATAACTAAGGGTGCATTTGCATTGTAGAAATAATGCAGTATGGCACCACTTTAACTGTCATGGGTCATTGCTATGGAATCATAGGAGTTGTCATTTTACACAGTCTTTATCCGTCCCTGCCATGATGTGCTGGTGTCTCACCAAATGACAACTCCCATGATTCAATTCCATACGATGGCTGTGCACTGAAGAATGAATTCAATTTGATGCCACTTTAACTGCCATGGCTAGTCAAGATTTCTAAATGCTTTTGTTTTCTGCTCCCGAAAGAAGAGTTGCAAATCCTTCAGTATAACTAGTTCAGTATTCCCCAAGTTGTGTCTCTCCAAATGTGTTAGGCTACAGCAGTGGTTCTCAACCTTCCTAATGCCACGACCCCTTAATATAGTTCCCAACCATAAAATTATTTTCGTTGTTACTTCATAAATGTAATTTTGCTACTGTTATGAATCATAATGTAAATATCTGATATGCAGGATGTATTTTCATTCACTGGATCAAATTTGGCCCAAATACCCAATACACCCAAATTTGAATACTGGTGGGATGGGAGTGGGGATGATTTTGTCATATGGGAGTTGTAGTTGCTAAGGTTTATAGTTCACCTACAATAAAGAGCATTCTGAAGTCCACCAACAATGGAATTGAACGAAACTTGGCACACAGAACTCCCATGACCAACAGAAAATATTGGAAGGGTTTGGTGAGCATTGACCTTGAGTTTGGGAGTTGTAGTTCACCTACATCCAGAGAGCACTGTGGACTCAAACAATGATGGATCTGGACCAAATTTGGCATGAACACTCAATATGCCCAAATGTGAACACTGGTGGAGTTTTGGGGAAAATAGACCTTGATGTTTGGGAGTTGTAGTTGCTTGGATTTATTGTTCACCTACAATAAAGAGCATTCTGAACCAGTGATAGAACTGGGCCAAAGTTCCCACACAGAACCCTGATGACCAAGAGAAAATACTGTGTTTGGCGACCCCTCTAACACCCCCTTGTGACCCCCCCAGGTTGAGAAACATGGGACAAAACCAACTGGTAAATGATGACTGAGGCCCCATCTACACTGCCATATAATCCAGATTATCAAAGCAGATAATCCACATTATCTGCTTTGAACTGGATTATCTGAGTCTACACTGTCATGTAATCAAGTTCAAATCAGATAATCTGGATTTTATGTGTCAGTGTTGAAGAGGCCTGAGAGTGACAGGGTTTATAGACAACACTTTTGGAGGGTACCAGGTTAGAGGAAGCTGGTTCATTTCTCCACCAGTCAAGGCAACAAATCATGACGTGTTCACATTTAATCTGATGGTACATACCTATATATGATAGTGATAGAACTAACCAATCTAAGAAAAAATAACAGCTATAGAAATAATATGCTGCATTATGTAGTACAATTTATATTCAAATCAGTCAGGATTCTCACCCATTATAGCAAAAAATATGATTGGAGAGGTGATAAGTACTGGTTTGATTCTAGCCTTATATATATCCTTCAATCATCTCAAACGAAATATTCTGATTTTAATCTGTAGCATGAGATGGTTCGGCTTCAATTCAGAAGATACCTGGTTTGCATGGACCAAGCATTCAGCTTTAAGAACAGTTTCTGTTACTTCTGAGTTTGTTGCTCTTGGGTCCAACAATATCAATTTAGATTTTAACAATTTCAGCCTTGAATAATTTTAAAAGTCCAAGTTCACAACTCTGAAAATGAATGTTTTTATTCCCCTGCTTCATTTTACACAAACATTTCAGAGATTAGCTAGTTCAATATTGCCTTTGCAAGAATGTCTGGACACTCTCCTTTCCAATGGAACTGCCAACAGGTAGGGGAATATATTAATGCTAACTAATTTAAGTATAAAGCAAATGATGTTCCAATCAATATAATGATTGCTCTCTCAAGTTACTGCTCTCAATTGGTCTCTTGGCAAAATATTTACTCACCTTTGCAAAATTAAAATTGGAAAGCAATACACAACAGCAAATTAGCTGATATTAGCTTTAATGGCATTTTTGGATAGCTTATAGGAACCTGTTTAAATATTTAAGTGTTTAAGAACAAAAGCAGAGCATTAAAATGCTCTGTCAGTGGATGAGAGGCAGGGAATGTGACTTTGATTTGAATCTACTGCTAGTTGGTATTCGAGACAGTTGCTGCAATAAACACGATTGGCAGCTATGCTGATTTGCAGGAATGAAACATATTATTTTATCTCCCTGTCTTAACAAATAGGTTTTCAATACATGACAAGAACATGGGCATTTTACAGTGTCACAAAGTAATTTGATACTGGAAAGGCCCAGGGCTTCCTCAAAAACTTCCTTCTAACTCAGTATGGACCCTGTCTGGACTGTCCCTCAGAAGTCCCAAAACTTCTGAGGGGGCCATCCACACAGCCTTCTTGCCTAACTCTCACCCAAAAAACTGAGAGGGTTGTAACCCCTTCCCCAAAAACCCCTTTATAAACCTTAAAACCGAAAAATAATTTACCTAGCTGCCATTCCCCCTTCTCTGGAGCTCTCCTAGCATGAATAAATGCCATGCTAGGAGGGGGGGGGGAGGAGGAAAATCACTCCTGCCCCCCCCTTCTCCTGGCATGTCCTTTCTATGTGACAGGAGAGCTCTGTAGAAGGGGGAATGGTGGCTGGGTAAGTTATTTTCTTTTTAAAAGGCTTTTCAGTGGGATTGTTTTGTGTACAGACCCAGCAGGGCATCTGGGCGCGCACACACACACCAAGGAAAGCACGGATGTTCCGGGGGAGGTGTGTGAATTTTAACCCAGGCCCAATCGGGTTTAGGAAACCCGATTGCACCCGGGTTAAAGCCCTATATGGAACTGCTCCAAATGAGTTTTGTTGAGTTTTGTAGAACACAGGGAAGTATTTAGTTTGCGATTAAAAAAAACAAGTCTAACAAAATGAATGCCAGTTGTGCACAGGCCTTGGTTTGCTACTTCTCAAAGGAAACTAAGTCTAAATCTTACTGATGCCGCAACACATAAATATGTCTTTTGTTTCTAGGACCCATGAATAATTCTTATAAACACAGTCAAAATCTATGGCTGATTTTTTTTTTACTCAAGTTGTTACACTGAGATATAAGAAACTGTGGCAGTGTCATTTTCTAAGCAAATTATCTTGAAAATCTTGACAATAGATTCCCCTTTGCACTTGCTACCTTCTCTCTGCCACTTCCAGTGAATCCCCATCATCTTGTTTTCTTCCAAAATGTCTATCTGGCAACAGTGATTGATCTGGCAGCCATCCAGGGATTTTCCAGTACTTGGAATCTTTTGAAAGTATTAATGTACTTTAGTACTATTTATCTACTTTCTTTGTTACTTATATTGACTTTGAAAATGTCTGGTGTATTTCCAGTTCAGTTCCACTCCCTTCCTGCTCCCAAATTTACATTAACCACAAAAGCTAAAGTGTAGTTCCAAAATCAACATCAAAATGAAGTATAAGGATTGCACTATTCTGTCTTCTATATGCATGCAGCCTAATCTCCTTCTTATTAGAAGTATATCTAAAGTATAATAATAATAATAATAATAATAATAATAATTGTTATTATTATTATCATTATTATTATTATTATTATTTATTTGTATCCCACTTTTCTCCCAAAACGAGACCCAAAGCAGCGCACAATATTAAAACATTACCAATCGACCATACATAGAACTATAAACAATAAAACCAACTTTAAAATAAATCATAAATAAACATTTTAAAATTATTTAACAAATACAATTGTTGTGGGAACTCATCAATTTAGATGATAATCTTTGCTCGATTCACTGAAAGTTAGCCTTGCCATCATTCCAAATTAAATAGCTTCATGAAAATGAAGCATCTTATAAGTCACAGCCATTGTCCTATCTACACTCCCATATAATCCAGTTTTTTAATCTGGATTATTTTATTTAAACGGGAGTATATAGCAGTGCAGACTCATACAATCCAGTTCAAAGCAGATAATCTAGATTTGTAAACTGAATTGTGTGGCAGTGTATATCCAGCCCATGTTGCAGGAGCCTTGTCTTGTCTTCTTCATCAAAGGTTCCACTTTTTTGTTTCTGTTTTAGGTCCCTTGATAGAATCCCTTTCTTCTACAGAGATTTGAATGGCATGATCCAAATTTCCTTAGTTTCATATTCCAGCATGTCAAAGCTATTGTTGTTTATTTGTTCAGTCGCTTCTGACTCTTTATGACTTCAGGGACCAACCCATGCCAAAGCTCCCTGTTTGCTGTAGCCACCCCAACTCCTTCAAGGTCAAGCCACTCACTTCAAGGATAACATCCATCCATCTTGCTCTTGGTCGGCCCCTCTTCTTTTTTCCTTCCTTTTCCCCCAGCTTAATTGTTTTCTCTAAGATTTTCTGTCTTCTAAATATGTGGCCAAAATACTTCATTTATCCTCTTGTATACTTCCCTCCAATGAGCTGTCGGGCTTTATTTCCTGAAGTATGGACTGGTTGGACCTTCTTGCTGTCCAAGGCACTCTCAGAATTTTCCTCCAGCACCACAGTTCAAAAGTGTTTATCTTCCTTCGCTCAGCCTTCCTTGTGGTCCAGTTCTCACATCCTAAGTTACTATGGCGAATACCATTGCTTTAACTATGCAGACCATCGTTGCCAGTGTGATGTCTCTACTCTTCACTATTTTATCAAGATTGGTCATTGCTCTCCTTCCAAGAAGTAAGCGTCTTCTGATTTCCTGGCTGCAGACTGCATCTGCAGCAATCTTTGCACCTCGAAATACAAAGTCTGTCACGGCCTCCATTTTTTCTCCCTCTATTTTCCAGTTATCAATCAGTCTGATTGCTATAATCTTGGGGTTTTTTGTGTTTAACTGCAACCCAGCTTTTGGGCTGGGTTTTCAGGCTGAGTTTTCAGGAAAACTAAGAATTTCACAATGGTTTAATTATTTTTATCTACATCATAAGTCTACAAGGTTTTACACTGATTTCAGTGTAACATTTTAAAGATTGATCACAAGGAGAATTAGTGGTCAGAATGAATGCTTGCGATGTTGCCAGTTTTTGTGGGATGGGGAAGGAGTTACGGCTTTTGTGTTTTCAATATGCAAAAAGTAAACTTCTTTTCACTGTATCTGCCTAACAGAAAAAAATATTTCTGTTTCTCATGCAACATACACTGCATCTGCCCAGGCCCCTTCCACACAGCTGTATAAAATCCACATTGAACTGGATTATATGACAGTGTGGACTCAGATAATCCAGTTCAAAACAGATATTGTGGATTATCTGCCTTGATATTCTGGGTTATATGGCTGTGTAGAAAGACCCTCAGGCACAAGTTGAGTGTGCAGATAACTGCAGTTTTGAAGTCCTGGGAGCTCTTCTAAGGAGAAAACCTCAGTCGTTGGCATACCTCCTGTTATTATTTTCCATACTTAGGTCTTCACTGAGTTGCATTGTTCCTAATTAAAAGCTACTCATGTTGAAAAATCTGTCTGGCAACACGTATGTGTTGACCTGAGAAAATTCCCATTTATTTGGATTCAGAAATAAAAAATGATATAATAATAATAATAATAATAATAATAATAATAATAATAATAATAACAATAATGTTATTTTTGTACCCCGCCTCCATCTCCCTGAAGGGACTCCAGGAGGCTTACATGGGGACAAGTCTAAGTTTCAACATAGTTAAAATATAATAACAAAATTCATAAAAACATTTTAAACAATATAAAACTACCACAGAATACAATATATAGTGAACATTTAGCAACCTTCAATGGTCCGAATAGTGCACAGTACTGAGTTCAGGCGGACAACTGGTGCAAATCATTTGCCAAAGGATAAGGTTGATGGATAAGGTGCTAAAGAAAAGGAAACGACAGGATAAGGACCTAGGGGTAGTATAAAGAAAGCACTATGTCTCTAAATGTGGCAATGGTAATGTGTGAAATCTGATTAGGATCGAATTGGGAGCCAGAACTATTTGGGGGACTATCTAGTCAAAGGCACAGTGGAACATGCACATCTTTAGTTCTTTCCAGAAGGTGGACAAGGTGGGTGCCTGTCTAATCTCCCTGGAGAGAGAGTTCCAGAGCTGGGGGGCACCACTAAGAAGGCCCTCTCTCTCTTCCCCACCAACTGTGCTTGCGACAAGGGTTGGAACAAGAGAAGGGCCTCCCCAGGACATCTTAGAGATCACATTGGTTCTTAGGGAAAAATGTCACGAAGATAAGCTGGTCCCAATATTGTGTTGCACTGCAGCTGGGCATAGTTGACTTTTGTCCTCATATTTATATCTCCTTTTGTGCCAGAAATTTTATCATTTACATATATGCCTTTCACAAAAGAATATTCCTTTGATCTGAGTTACAGATACTATCTTGGGAGTTTATTATAAAATCATGGGAGCTCATTTCCTTTTTCTTTGGCTTTTTATCTATGCATTCTGTAGCTTTTGTTTATATTCCACAGATTCCAGAAACAAAACCATATTCAGGCTCTAAAACTGAGTCTCCAGAAGGATACTATGAAGAAGCTGAGCCCTATGGCATCTCTCTGAATGGTATGCTTTTGCTTAGTCTATAGTAATCTAGACAGTCTAGAGAATTTAATTTTTTTCTAGAAACAAGGCAACATAAATGCATCTGCAAGGTTAAGGCTGTCAGATTTAATTGCCAGGTTATTATATCTTTCCTGCCACCCGCTTTTCTTTCACTTTCACGAGTTGTTATTTCATCTCATATGAAGTCCTGGACTAAATTTACAAGTCTGCAGGGAATAAAGTGTAAATTATGTCCTGATATGTGCTCTGGTATATCCCCCCTGCCTCCTGCTCCATGCCTTTGACAATGCTACACATTTCAGAAATTTCACTCATTTTTTGGTAATTTCCTGCTGTTGTTCACAAAGATTTCAAGAAAACAAGAATTTAAAAAAACTTTGATATTTGGAGATGTTACATTTTTGGATTGCAGCTCTCACAACCCCAGATGACATGGCATTGATGGATGGGAATTCTTGGAGATATATATCTCTCCCACCCCCCACCCCCCCCACAAAAAAAAGAAAAGTTTCCAAACTCAGTGGAATAAAAACTGCTGGGGTTATAATTTTAAATTTATATATAAATATAGCAAAAGTACAGTAAAAAAAACTACAAGCAACAATAAAAAGGGAAACAAACAGTGCAATTGCGTGTGTCTTTGCTATTACAGAGTTTGAGCTGTTTAAGGTAGGGAATTTTGTACAATGTACATAAACATTTGGATAAGAAAAGTTCACCGATCAAGAGAAATTAATGAAAAGTTTCCTTTTGTTTTGACTGCAAACCACCTGCGTTTTTCTTAAAGAGCTACATTCTTTCTTAAACATGTGTTCTAACATTGGAAAAGACATATTAAGGTCACTTTGTGGGTGACCTGTCTTTTCAAAAATGTGACCAACTTTCTTCTTTGAGAAGCAGGGCTTATCTATACTTCAAGGGAGCATCTGTTCTTCTCCCAAAGCTTTCACTAGATTTAAATTTCATTTCTGACATGTATTTGCCTGCAAGAGCAAGAAAGTATGTATCATCCTCTGAAATATGCTCAAAGTTTCTTTGGATCTGTGGGCATTTGCCAAGGAGAGGATGTTATGGGATGCCTCACGTGAGGAAAAAATATACAATTGTTCAATTAAGTGTGACAATATATATTGTAGGTCCTGCACTCTTGCAGGAAGTGGGATGCAAGACCCCTGAGAAAGTGTGACAATGCAATTTTTTAAACTTGAGGGAACACATAGGAACCTCTAAGTCCTCTATTGTAATTGTGGAAATTAACCATTGTGTCAGGACCTATAGATTCCTAGAGACCATCTATATAGGCCACGAACCTTGAATCGGGCCAGAAGTTACTCTTGGGTGTCCAGATGTCATCCAGGAACTCATGTCCCTTAATGCAGGGCAAAAAACAGTTCCTGCATTACTACAAGTTGAGAACTGCTCCAGAGCAGCCCCATTCTATGGGGTTGGCATGAACAGTTGGGCCAGTTCTAATTGAAAACTGGTTCCACTGTTGACATAAGCTAGTGCCACAGTCCTGTTTTTCCTGCACTTTGCAACACTTCGGGCACTTCCACACTGGGGTTAAAGCCATGATGAAGCAGGTTTAAAAACCCGCTTCATCATGAGTTTAAGTCCCCACGTCTGAACAAAAACCTGGGCTTTCCCAGGGGTGGCTATCTCCATGTCAGCACAGTTACTACTGCAGTGGGCCACACCAACCCCCCCCCCCCTCCAAAAGCCTTAAAAATTAAAAATATCCTTACTGGGTCACCATGTTGCTGCTCTGGCAGCCCTCCTGGCACATAAGAATGCTGCACCAGGAGGTGGTGAGGGGTCAGGATCAATTCCCCCCGCTTCCTGGTGCATCATTTCTGTGTGCCAGGAGGCCTGTCAGAGCAGCGACATGGCGGCCTAGATCTAATGGGGTATCAAATTAATTTGGGACAAAGCAGGGTAAAATTATCCTCTTTTAACAAAGGCATCATTTGGGTGGTCCTGGTAAAAGTACGACAGGGCCTGCATTTTGACCCCTGTCTGGAAGGATCCTCAGTTTGCATCATTTGCTGCCCAAGTGGTGGCCACAGAGCTCCAGAAATCCTGGCCATCATCTGGTGGCTTTGCCAAGGTCAGCAAAGGTGCTCATGCTACTCTCTTCTCTCCAAATTACACAGCCACAGATCAAGACCAGATTGGTGGCAGAATTCAGGGCTGGTCTGAACCAGCAGTGCTTTAGACCTGCCCCAGATTTATGTAACTGTGTAGATTTAGGTACCCTAGAGAAACCTCATTAATCAATTTGGAATTTCAATGCAAAATTCACATAAACTAGTTTTGCAAGAATTTTCTGTACAGGAAATATTTGGCTCTGAAAATTATATATATGTGTGTAGAAATAGTATTACTAGTGTCAAAAATAATATTTCTATTGAAAATATTGTTATCAGTAAAAAAAATGTTTTCTTTGCAAATTTACACAAATTTAATGACGAATGAATCCCCAACTACAGAATTTTTCTGCAGGAAACAGAATTTTCTGTGCAGGAAATAATATTTCTGTGTACTAAATGGTATTTCTTTCCACAAAAAAATCATGTGTGAATGTGATACCTAATAAATCCTAAATTGCAAGAGTTATCTGCTTTCTAGGATTCTTCTCAACTAGTTTTCTCAGAACTTGAAAAACTTTCTTTTTCATTTTTCTAAACATTTCCATTTGTTCTTTCCATTCTTGCTGGGGTGATGAATATCTGGGCTTTTAAAACCCTCCCATCCAACACTACAATGGTGGCCAATATTTCTGTATGTTTCCTTCTCATGAACTGTAGGAATTCCTTACTCTCTTTGAGGTTGAGGCAAAATTACTGAAGGGTGGAATAAAAATAAACCACTGTGGGACTGAGTGCAACTGATTCATTCAAGGATGGAATAAATAATAATCAACACACTCTATTTTATTGCTGATGGATATCATCATTGTCATGATCACCACCACCAATTTGTAAAAAATGAAATATTGCTCTAGGTTTTAGCATACTGTTTCTAATTATGATTGTATATTTGATCCAAGAGAGTTAAATGCATCTGTTAGTGTTCAAAGTGAGTTTCATTTGTAGGTCTTTTTCTTTCTCTCTTTCTTCTCTGTGTGTGATTGTGCAGGTTTTTATGGTAGACTTGCAGCTACTGGATCCAGACCAGGGTTGCAAGTTACCGAGGGAGTCATATATGCCACGATAACAATGGGTACAGCATGTTTTCAAGTGAACATGAATAATATTGCATCATATGTCATTTTATATTGTCATGATCATATTATTGTCCTATTTATGCATGATGGAAGTTGCTATATGTATGATCCCTATATCCACAAGTCCACTATCTGTGGTATCATTTATGCATGGTGGACAAAACATTATCTCTCTAGGCATTTTCTAGGTCCTCAAGCATGACTTTCTGGTATTCTTGGGCCAGATGTCCTTCATTTCAATAGGATTCACTATTTTCTGCAATTTCACATATCTATGCAAAGTCTGGGAACGTATCTTCCATGCATACAGGGTTGCCCTATATATATATATATATATATATATATATATATATATATATATATATATAGCAATACCTTAGCTAAACATAAAGAAAAATCTCACATGCTAAAAGGCGTAATCCAAGAATCATTTAAAGTTGTTATCATCCTCTTCAGTGTCAGCAAACTTCAGAGATTTTTTTTTTTTACATAGTAAGAGACAATATATTGCAAGATCCAGAGCTTGGAAACCACACTCAATGTGCTGATACTAAATAATCAAAGATACTTGCTATTTGAATGTTAAATTTGTAAGAGAAATGCCCAAATTTAATTCTTAATGAATTGTCTTGTTACATTTAAAAATATTTATTTGTTTTTACTTACTTACTTACTTATATACTGCTTTTCTCACCCCTGGGAGGACTCTAAGCGGTTTCCAACATAACCATGGCAAAATTCAATGTGAAAAACCAGAGCATAAAATCAAACAATAACATATCACTATGAATTAAACTGTTAAAACCATATTAAACCATGAAACAAATGCAACATTTAGACATTAAGACATAGAATTAAAACATACTAGTGTAATAATTAAAATCACATAATCCAAAATCATAATCCAAAGCCATTCCAATTGTCAGTTTCACATATACCTTATTCATTTCTTGCACTGCTCACTAACCAACGGCATGGTCCTACAGGCATGTCTTTTGCTTTTTTTCTGAAGGCCAAGAAGGAGGGTGCTGATCTAATTTCACTGATGAGGGAGTTCCACAGCTGAGGAGCCACCACTGAGAAAGCCCTATCTCCCATCCCCACCAACCGCACCTGCGAAAGAGGTGGGACTGAGAGCAGGGCTCCCCAGAAGATCTTAATATCCTAGATGGTTCATACATCTAGAATGGCTAACATTACTATGAAAGCAAAACATTATTTTTTGCTGAAAATGAAAAAATGCATTTAATATTGTCCAGATAATTTTTTTAAAATTTTAACAAATGGAAGAATAACAAATTATTTTTAATGAATTGTTCCAAGTTCTGGTAAAATCAGGAACAGTAATCTGTTGCAACCTGAAGAAAAGGAAACACAGGAATTTTAAAAAATCAAAATAGTGCATATTTCTTATGTATTTGGTGAGAGGTGCATATTCCAAAGGAAGGCTATCTCATGTTAATAGCTCAACTTACACCTGCTGTTCAGGAATTCACCTCTAGGCATACCTATTCATAAACAACTCCCACTGAGTTGAATGGAAGTTATCTACAGGGACACACAAAATTTCTCAGTATGCATCAAATGGTCCTACCATACAAACATAGTATAAGGAAGAAGTCCTTATCATTTATCTAGCAAGAAAAGGGTAGTGCATCTACTTAATGTTTTTATGGCTTTGTACAGTTTTTATATTATATGCTAAATGTTTTAATAGTATTTTATAATTGTTTTGATTGTTTTATAATTGTTGAGGCATCGAATTGTTGCCAAGTGTGAACTTCCTTGAGTCGCCTCCGGGCTGAGAAAAGCGGTATACAAATATGGTAAATAAATAAAATCCAAGTGTTTCTGTGGTCAGAGCATAAATCAGTGAGTACCTTCTTTTCATTTGTTATACTGGAAGCTGCAAATGAAACATGAATGCCTTGTATACTCCCTGTAGAATTTTGTTTTTCCACAAGTTGCATGCTTGAGTCCAAGAATACATCAACAAAAATTCTTGGGTATTCTATTATTTTCTGAGCATGGAGCATGGTAGTTACATGATTTGGCAAATATACAACTTCATTCCAGATTTCTGGGGAGAGAAGACAATCAGTCGTCTTCCACCTGATTGTATTCCTGTGACCAGAATTTCTATGTGGGGTTCTTAATAATGTCTCATACCAGCAGGAATGTACCCATTAGCTTGTGAATATATGTTGAGCATCAGTAATAAGCTAATGAGCCTTACCACAAACTGTAAAAGACCATACACTTCGGCATTAAGAGAATTATCTTTCATACTGCAGACCTTTACATCTGGGCACCAAACTAAATCATAATTGAATGTGAAGTTGGTGAGATATAGGCTTGTGAGCTTCACCTGTCTGCACCCTTTCCTTAAGTTTGGCTACAAAGATGTGTTTGCAATAATCTCTTATTACTTAAGGCAATTCACAGTGTCATCTGCATTGATAGACTCTACCAAAAGAATCCAAACTTACAGAGTGTGATTTCAAGTTTCAGACAAACCATAGTTCTGTCATAACAAGCTGTGGTTAAGTAAAAATTGAGGTAAACATTTATAGACTCTTTCTCATGTGCAACCCAAAAAGAAAGGGGAGAAGGATGGAGCGTACAGGACAAAGACTCATTCTGGCTCATTGAGATGCCACTAAATCGGGAATGGAAATCTATAGTTCTCCAAATGTTGGACTATGGTTCTCATCATCCATAACCACTGTGTGATCAATTATAGACATTTCCAATATTATGTTAACTTGCGGTTTAATGTGGCATCCAAATGTGGCCAACTTTACCGCTGTAATTGAAGCTAGTTGTTATTTTAGACAGTTTCAAAAATGTGAAGAAGATATAACAGAAATTATTGTTATTGTTATTATTGTTTACTTATTCACGCTCCTCCTTTCTCCCAATGGGGACCCAAGGTGGCTAACAAACGCTCAATTTGCCCGTAGTTTAAAAAGCACAAAACTTTACAAAAATTAAAATATAATTAAATAATACTGTAAATACAATGTGGATTAAGGTTAAAAGCAGGCTAAAATATAATAAATACACTTAAAATAGTATTTAAAAGACACAGCCCCCCACCCCACCCCCACTCACTCCAGAATCTCATCCACACTTTTCCAGCAGCATTTCATTTAATTGTCTTCAGAATGGGGCCGCACCAAAACTGCTTGTTTTACTCTCTTTGATTCTCATTTTTCCTTGATACATAAATTTCCACCTCATTAAATTATGTGAGAATGGTTGGAGTGCTTTCTAAGAAGATCTGTCATTCATAGATGGCGAGTAGCAAATTTGTTGGCAATTGACAAAGCCACAGTAAATTGAAGATTTGCAATTTATGCTCTACATTCATAGACACACACTGAGTGTAACTGTCATTGTCATTTATTGATCTTGTTATATTTTTGTCTTGTTATATTGCTAAATTTTGCTTCTTTTGCTCACAACATGTTTAAGAAAGTTCACAAACATGAACATGAAAATTGCAAGTATGCAAAGAGATCTTATAATCAGGATAAAGACTAGCTGAGAGAATTAAGTTGGTAGGAATAATCTTTTGTAGACTAGGGGCGGATCTAGGCAGCCCCTTCATTGCTGAAACTTCTGCAATAAAAAGGGGGCTGCCCAGACAACGTTCTGGACAATCCCGAATTAATTCGCCACAAACCAGGAAAACTCTGGTTTGTGGTTAATTAATTTGATAATGAGTTTATTTCACATCTTCTTGTAAGGTGCGGGATAAACCCACTACTTCTGGTGTCTGGACTACAGTCTAGACACCATTCCCACAGCTTTCTGGGCTAAATTAGCCCGGAAAACTATGGGAATCCCAAACCCCTCCCCAAAAGCCCTAAAACTCACCTTTAAAAATCGAAGTATTTACCCAGCCTCCAATGGAGAGGTGTGGCAGCTCTCCTGGTGCATAGAAATGACTCGCCAGGAGAAAGTGAGGGAGAACGAAAATCGCTCCTGCCCACCCCCCTCCCCCTTTCTCCTGGTGCATCATTTCTACATAACAGGAGAGCTGCCACAGCTGTCAATTAGAAGGGTTTTTTTAAAGGGGGGGGGGGGTAGGGCTTTTGGGGAAGTCCAGGAAGAACATCAGCACACTCACCCCAGAAAGTGCACACTTTCTGGGATGTGTATGAGCAGGACTCCAGGAACATCTGTGTTTTTTAAACACGGGTGCTCCTGGGATAAAGCCCTGTCTGGAAAAGCCCTAAGTCTGTTTCCTCAGATGCATGATGAAAATGAAAGAATTGGTTCAATAGAATCCAGATCCAAAAAAGTGTATTTTACATATTCTGATAATTACAAGATGGTTGCAATTATTCCATATATAATGTAACTGATATAGTCCTTTCTTTGTAATGTTTATCTGGCTTGTGCATGCTGGTCCAAGTGGTGTGAGAGACAGGGGATAAGAAAAGATGGCATGAGGGCAGCAACTTCTCATTGTCTGAATTTTGCAAGATTTCATTCTCTATTTTTCTTCTGTACTGCTGCTGTCATACCACTGTAGTGTTCTCCAGCTTGCTTAGTGGATAATGGAACATTGCTTTGTCACCAAGAAGTGTGTGTGTTGGTCCTTTCTCCCCTACCCGTTTGGATGCAGATGATGGAGAAGCAGTCAGCAGTTCCTATGAATCCTACGATGAGGAAGAGAACACTAAAGGCAAGTCAGCTCCCCACCAGTGGCCTTCCCCTGAAGCTTCCATTGAACTCATGAAAGATGCACGGATCTGTGCTTTCCTCTGGAGAAAGAAATGGCTGGGGCAGTGGGCCAAGCAGCTTTGTGTGATTAAGGATAACAGATTGTTGGTAAGCATATGATTTGACAGATGAGTTCTCTAAATGAATTTATTTCTTAAAATTAGTCTCCTTGTGGAGAGAAAAGTGGAATATAAATAAACATCATCATCATAATTTCCGAAACTTAGAGGAAAAACCAATTCCTCAAGATTATGCATGTGAATAATACGACACAAGAACAGTTATGCTATATGTATGTAATCCAAAGTCTGCCCCAAGACTGGCCACGTATTCCACACTTCAACCATAGTCTCATGTGGCCCAGCTCTTTGTTTCCCACAGCAGTCAACCAGATACTTCTGGAATGCTCACAAATAGGAAATTTAGGGCCCTTCCACACAGCTATATTACCCAGAATATCAAGGCAGAAAAATCTATAATATCTGCATTGAACTGGGTTATCTGAGTCCACACTGCAATATAATCCAGTTCAATTTTATACAGCTGGGTAGAAGGGGCCAAAGACAACATCATCTAGTAATGATAATCACAAAAAGCTCCCAGGAAGGTTCTTGGGTAAAGGAACTGATACAGTTCTATGCAGAAAGAAACCTGGCACTCTTGCATTTGGTGTGATTCATTAGAGCAGTGTTTCTCAAACTGTGTTCCTCCAGATGTTTTGGACTTCAGATCCCAAAAATCCCAGCCAGTTTACCAGCTGTTAAGAAATGTGGGAGCTGAAGCCCAAAACATCTGGAGGAGCAGTTTGAGAAACACTGCATTAAAGGAAATCGAAAACTGCCACAGTAGATGTAGTGAACATACTACTGCCATGCCTTTTTCCAGTACAATGTATTCAGAATGTCTGAGGTGCATCTGGGATTTTGTACTTATATGGGCATGCAAAATGGTTCAGAAGAGTCTTTCAGTGTGTGGAAAATTTACTTTTTGGCACTACAATTCTCAGAATCCACTAGCCAGCATATCCCTAGATCCTGCCATTTGGAGGATTCTGGAAGTTCTCTCTTTCTGGATGCTTTATGTAATCCAACCATTTTCTTTGTGTACTAACTGCGGCCCTCCAGCTGTTTGGGCCTTCAACTCCCAGAATTCCTGGCAATTGAACAAGCTCATTAGGGCTTCTGGGAGATAGAGGCCCAAACAGCTGGAGGGCCACAGTTTGAGGATGCCTGGAATAGACAAATGTTGTAAGGACGGGTTATCTTTCTGTGTGTGCATTCATGTGGGTATATAGTAATGATTTCATACTCGGAAACATATGGCTTTGTTAGTTAATCTAAAAGACGTAGTTGCTTGGAGGTATGAACATTGTATTCCATGATTTAAACAGCAACCCTGTCTGATCAGTCATTTTGATACTAGTAGAGCTTGTGAAAGTTTTCTTTTGGTTTTTGGATCATAACATCAAGAAACTTCAAGCCACCGTAGCCAGTAGCTATAACATTTGGAGCTGTAGTCCCCCCTCCCCCCAAAATGAAAATTTTCTAAGTTTTAGATTTTAGACAGCAATAAATCCATATTTATTTCAATGGACATCTAAGTTTCTGTTTCTTTTTTCAGTGTTACAAGACTTCCAAGGACCACAACCCTCAATTGGATGTTAATTTGTTGGGCTGTAGCGTCATCCACAAAGAAAAGAATGTGAGGAAGCAAGAACATAAACTGAAGATCATCCCAATGAATGCTGATGTCATTGTCCTGGGCTTGCAGAGTAAGGACCAGGCAGAACAGTGGCTCAGAGTGAGTAGACCACTCTCTTGTAAAGACTTCTGGAGTTCCCTTCAAGCTGGTTAGATGCCATGCCCCATATTTATAACTGCCAGCATAAAAATTAAGGTTTAGTTTCAAAAAATTCAGAGTTCTCAATGACCATTGTGGCATTAGTCATCCACCAGCTAGTCTCGAAGCCCAAGTTTTGTATCTGCTTGAATTTCTCCGTTAATTGAAGTGTATATCCAAGTAAATCCTCTTTGCCTGTGGGAAGATGAAGGGGACATCACAGCCTAGCTCTTCAGGGGAAGGATAAATGAAGTCTTTCTTCAGCAAGAGAAACTAGCAGTATTGCCCAGTATTTTTTTAAAGGCAGATTCTACCACATCCTTTTTTGTATAACACATTTTGTAGAAATGTGTGGTAATGTGTTGTTGCAAGAACTGTGGAGGAAATGTAGTCATGTTTGTCAAATTGAGGTTATGAGTTCTGAGCACACACAGAGGTGTATGTGGTTGCTAATGTGGCTGATTTTTTAAAAATTCTCTAATAAAGGAAATGTAAGGGAGAGTATATAATCTATTTACAGGAATAGTGTACAACCTTTAGTATACAGCCTTTAATATAAAACTAATAGAATATTAAATTCAGTTGATAGTCCAAAATAGAGCGAACTCATTGAATCAACCTCCGAATGTTAAATAAACATGTATGTAAATCTCATTGATTTAGTGAGTTTATTATAGTAGGTATTAGTATATGTAAGAATAGTCAGATATTTTTCATGACAAAAGGTAACTTGACACAAGAAGATTATCCAGGTTGCAGTAATGTTTTACATTTTCAGACTTCTGAAAAAATCAATTGCTCCCTGTAATGCATTTTGTGCAAAAATGTGTTCCCTGCAAAATGTTGTACAGATGCAATATACAATGTTTTATACTGGGTCATTATAATTTGTACAATGTACAATGGGTTTTGTGGAAATACGATTTTCACAAAAAATATCAATAACCTTTGGAAAATTTGCTCTCATTATACTCTCATCTAGAAAGTAGAGGTCTTTTGAGATGTTTCATTCTCATGTGTGAGAACAAAATAAGACAACATAGTTCGTATTAGTACTTGGGTTTAGGGCCTAGTTCCATTACTGGTAATTAGGATGTAAGGCTACATTTTAAATTTATTTCCTTAGTATATTTATAATTTAGCTCATGATGTGGTTAATATGGAGCTAAGTTAAGTGGTAATGATTCAATATAGCAAAGAGATATCTGGGGCAGGACGAGAAAATATATATCCCTCTGTATTCCCAGAAGGGAAATTTCTTAAATTCTTTCTTTTTTGCATGGTGAATGTGTTTGGCAAGTTGGGAGATTTCATGAACATTAATTATCCAAATTTTGGATGAGCAGTAACTAAGAGACGTAATGATTCAAGCCTTGGTTCTCTATGTAGTTTACAGATCAGGTAATTTCCCTGCTCACTGCTCTGCCAATCTGAGATAAGTCCTTTTGCAAAGAGGGAGGACATAGGGTCCTGAGTAAAATATGTATAGGTCAGATAATGTACTTCTGCAGGACATATTGAGCCAGTAGACTAGAAACACTTCCATGCCTGATATGATATACATGGAGAAAGATTGAGGACATTCTTCTAATTTAATTGAAAGGAGGAGGGAAGGAGGGTTTCATACAGCCATGCTCACTTATTTGTTGTTGTTGTGGTAGGGTTGTCAGCTGACCAGCCAAGAACTACTCTGGGCCTTTTCAGTTCTTACTTTGTTTGGAATGTTGACTGATCAGGCTAAAGCCTTGTAAAACTACTTTTTGGACTAAAGATTCCAGAATCCCATGCTAGACGTGATATCATGGGATTGATATATAAAAAAATTACCTTTCAAGTTCCCAATTGGTCCATGCTTTCTTTTGTGCATTGTTTATATAGTTATCCCCAGTTCTCTTATTAGTCAGACCTTTTTGGAGGAGCTTCATTTATCTGCCTCTTTCCCAAGAGAAACCTTGTTTAAACAGAGCTGTATGTGAGTTAAACACATACCTTTAAACACACAAGAAAAGGAAAATCAAGAGGGGAATTTCCATGGGATAACACTCTGCTTACAATGCGCTTTTGTTTCCTTCTTTCTCCATATAGGTAATCCAAGAGACAAGTGGTCTCTATCCAGATGGGTGGGGTGAAGGAAATCAGTACGTTCCAGACTCCCAACGGCTTAGTTATCCCAAAGTATGTCTTATCTCTTATGGGACTTTTAAAAACTTCCATTGCATCATATTATTTTAATTTTAAATGTGAGATTATAAAGGAGAAATAACTGTTGTCACAAAACAGAAGAATTCTGGAAAGTTGATACCTAAAGAAAATCCAGCCTTTTTGCCAAAGGAAGCACAGATAGTTTGCCACACAGCTGCCATTCCAACTAACATGAGCACTTCTTTTGTAGACACTTATTTATCCATAATTTTTGTTCTGAGCAAAAAAAAAAAAGTAAATCCTGTTCAAATTCTAATTAAAGAAGTATACAAATAAGGATTCTGGAATGACAATTTTTAATATCAGTGGTTCTTAACCTGTGGGCCGTGGACCACCAATTGGCTGCGAGCACAAAAATCTGATCTGCGAGCCTCCTTCCTCTTTATTTATTTATTTATTTATTTTATTTCCATTCCTTTTGCTCTGCCTACCACTTCAAATTTTTGAAAATACACATGATTAGTCTTAAAATATTTCAATTCCTCTAACTTCTTTAAAAAAAATAAAAACCCAAAGTGAAGCTGGAACAGTCTATGGTATTATTATTTTTCAAAACCACCATATGGGTATCAGAGATTAGGGCTAGTTCAGCTGCCAGCAAGATTTTCTTTCATGGCTAGAGTCAATTCCTGCTCTGTTCTACTCTGGCTCCATGATGTAGCCAAAAAAACACAAGGATTCTTTGAGGAGCATAGGGCCCTTACTTTGAAGTGAAATATAGGGGAGGAAACCAATTCTGCTAACTTGTATTGTTAAGGTAAGAAATAACAGTTTTCCTTTTTGTTCCCAGAGGACTAGCAGCACACAAAATGTACTTAGAAAGGAATGCTGTTATTTTATACTGCCAAGAGAACAATATTTTTGTATTAACTTCCAAGATAGTTTATTTCAAGTAATATCGGCAGAAATCTTGTGGTAATCAAGAATTACATACTTGTGACTGCTTGTTATGTCTAGGTATCCCCCAGTTTAAGGGGATACAGAGCAACTGAGAAAGTTCCTCAATCCCTACTTTCTGGGCAACAGCTACTGCAATAGACAAGGGTCTGTTATACTACTGACGAGGAAGTGGCTAACTAACTAGCATTTCTACTCATTCACCTTTATGTAAGCTAACTCCAGCACTAGAGCTAATTGTAACAGTGATTCTGCTTCATGTTGTCACACTCATGGGAGGCTATAGGTGATCACTCATGAGAGGACATGGCAACATCAGTCACTTGCTTCCCAAGCAATGGGAACATATTGCCCAACTGCAGTGGCTGCTGTTTGGTAAGTGAGGATTGTGGTGGTGTAAGGGATTCAGAACAAAATCCACTGCAGAGCACCATAACTCAGGCGCCTACACACTCACAAGTCCCCATGAGGATTTTGGCTGTCATTACTTGTAATGACATATTCCCAAGATGTGGACTCTATCCCGCCCACAATGGGCTGTGGCTTCTGCATGCTTTTGACACGTCACTCTCCAACAGATCTATCTGTCATCAACCTGGCTTTTGGGATAAAGTATGCATAGCTAAGTCATGTATATTTCTGTGCCAAGTGCAATCCACTATGGAAGAATAGAATTTGCTTCCCTTCCAACAGCTATTTGGAGAAAGTCCTGTCTCACACAACTGTTGTGGTATTTTGTGTCTTATTCCTGGCTCTTGTTCACAGGTGGAGTCAACTGAGAGGTATTCAGTGGCATCAGAAAGTGGAAGCAGCACTGATGGTCACCCAGAACTGTTGGAAACTAAAGATGGTAATAGTGGTTTAAAAATTGAATGTAATTATTGCATTATCAGAAGAAAAGAGAGGAGGTGGAGCACTTTTAATTTTGAATGAACTGAATTGGTTAATTGTCTTTCTCAAATAATTAAAAAAAGTATCACAGAACTGCACTGCTACATTATATTAAATAACTTGTAGCTGGGGTTGAAAGGGTTACTTTTGTGACCCTAAATTCTCCAGCCAACATAGTATGTACTGTAGCCAGGATGGTTGGAGATTTTGAAAAGATGGAATCATGAAAGCTGACTCCCCAAGTACTAAAATAAAATAGGTTGTCTTGGAGGTTCATTTCTATAGTCTTGTTCAACAAGGAACACTGAATGAATGAAGTGGCATAATTAACAGAAGCACTTCAACTTGGTAAATTGCCTAAATCAGAACAGACGGTTTACCCATCTAGGTCTGTGTATTTTTCCTGGTAATGACTCTCCAGAATCTCAGTAGAATAGAAGCTTAAGTCCAAATTTCAAAGGAGCTGTCCTAAGTGCTGAACCTAATTTGTAGGTTTGATTCAGTACCGTAGATAGCACCTTTTAAACATGGTCCAAATCCCACGACTGTATTTACTGTTCCACTCATAAACCACCAGTTGCCACTAGCAGATTCTAATCTAAGATGACAATTATTAAATTTCCCTTTCTGTTTCCTCATACAGTTAAAGTAAGGTGTCACTGACATACCTAAGCCTATAGACCCACAGTTCCCTTTCAGCTAGCAGGACCATAAGTTTGGGGCACTGTATGAAAATTTAGATACACTGTTTTAAATATTTTGTTGATACAAGGTTTGGATGAATGGATAGATGGATTTATTTCTCTCCTCTAATCCTTTTTTATTTTAGCTAAGAAGAAAGGCACGTCAGGATTAAAACTGAGCAATCTGATGAATCTTGGAAGAAAAAAATCTGCATCATTGGACAGTCCAGAGAGGTCTTTGGATACTTGTAGTAAGTGACCTGAAAGAAATCCACCTGATTCATTGTAATCTCTGTCACTCACAGCCTTGAGGACAGTCTGAAACAAAGGTCAGAATCATGAGTCCCTCGCGATCTTCTGGGATTGTAACTCCCAGTCATTAACTTATGCTGCCATAAATCCAACAAAACCCATGATGATAATCCAGGGGGAAACATTAATCCAACCAGTATGTTCAGAATTTTTTAAGGCAAGTTCTGTGCTTTTCATTCTTCTATTTACTACAGAGAAGTCAAACTCATTCATAAAAGTTTTGAGGTAGGCTTTAAACTTCTTGCATTCTTAATAGTACTTTCTGTATTAGACTTGGATGTAAACCTCCAAGATTTGTTTTTCATAAGGAGTCGAGATTGCTATATATGGTGGAACATTCTTATCACTGAGCAAAGTTATTTTTACATTTATGTCTTGCTCTTCACTTATGAATATAAGTGAGGACTTTCCATGGTTCTCCTCCTCACTTATATTCATACAACATCCCTTTGTGGTACTTCAGGCTTAATGAGTTTCATAGTATAGTGGGGAGCAAAACCTGGGTCTCAAAATTCACAGTCAAGCACATGTAACACTTGTATCCCATTGGTACTCAAAGCTAGTCTAGATTGGCTGCTATAAAAAACCCATTATATTAGTTCTAAATTCCACTGGGGAAATGTTACTAAGGAGACATTTCTTTCTCTGCAGCATATCTGAATGTATTGGTGAACAGCCAATGGAAATCTCGGTGGTGTTATGTGAAAGATGGACAGCTCCATTTCTACCAAGATAAGAACAAATCCAAAACTGCACAACAGCCTTTGAACTTGATAGGCTGTGAAATTTTCCCAGACCCAAGTCCTGACCATCTCTATTCATTCCGGATTCTGCATAATGGGGAGGAACGGGCCATGTTAGAGGTATGCCTTGTCATTCTTCTTTTGACATTTGGTTGGGAACAATGCAGTCACTTGCTGTGCCATGATGACCAGAGCTCTTTTAGACTGTCATCTATAATCATACTACACAGTGATAGAGCTTTCCACTTTTCAGTTTTCTCCAGGCCTTAAGAGGAGCCTACTACCATCAAAATGTAGAACCAGTAAAGACAAATGAGCAAGAGTGAATTGACTTTTGTTTTTAACTGATCTACTGAGGGAAGTATAAGTAGATATATTGTCAAAGGCTTTCATGGCCAGAATCACTGGGTTGTTGTAGGTTTTTCGGGTTGTATGGCCATGTTCTAGAACAGGGGTCCTCAAACTTTTTAAACAGAGGGCCAGGTCACAGTCCCTCAAACTGTTGGAGGGCCAGATTATAATTTGAAAAAAATGAATGAATTCCTCTGTACACTGCACATATTTTATTTGTAGTGCAAAAAACACTTAAAACAATACAATAATTAAAATGAAGAACAATTTTAACAAATATAAAATTATTAGTATTTCAATGGGCAGTGTGGGCCTGCTTTTGGCTGATGAGATAGGATTGTTGTTGTTGTTGTGCTTTCAAGTCATTTCAGACTTAGGTTGACCCTGAGCAAGGGCCGGGTATATGACCTTGGAGGGCCGCATCTGGGCCCCGGGCCTTAGTTTGAGGACCTCTGTTCTAGAACATGGCCATACAACCTGAAAAACCTACAACGACCCACTATAAGTAAATAAACTGGTCATTCATTTTTTAACAAAATAATTTTAATTATTTTGGGAGCGGGGTTTACACTATATCATGCAGTGGAGTGAACAGTACTGACAAATGATCTAATAATAGGAAAAGGAAAGCTCTTTTAAAAAAAAAACCCTCGGTGTAATTTCCATGGAATTACATTCAGTTTGGAGCAGCCGAAACATTAAGGTGAAGAAAGGACAAGTTACTCATGCCTGCTGCTTTCACTTACCTTGAATCAGAGTTGTTTTCCTTCTCTGTTTACCTCCAGTCTTAGATTCACTGATGTCAGTGCCATAAGAGTGGGAGGAGGGAACTGTGACAAATTTCCTGCATTTTGTTGTGGGAGGACTGTTTGCAGACAACAACAGACTTGGAAGTCAGACATTCCAAATGTTGTTTTGCTAAGCAGATGGATTGCTGAGGTTGATAGAAATAAGGGCCACTGCAAAAAATGTTTACAATTGGCTTTATTCACACAGTTAAGGTACACTTTATAATGAAGGTTTTAGTTTAAGAGAGCTAGAAAGCATCATGTCCTTTCACTTGGGCCATTTAGAGTACTAACTGGGTTCTTTCTTTCACTTTTTCTGCTATCAATGTTTTAATCCTATTTGATGCCTATCCAGTGAAGCAGCTTTAGGAAGTCAGGTTGGTGCCCTCTCCTGGCTAAAACAGAAATAAAGAGGCAGTATTCATTTAAAGTTCATTGAATTTCAGTTTTGAATATATCTCAGCAATAATAATAATAATAATAATAATAATAATAATAATAATAATAATAATGGAATTTCTGAAAAAAATAAATCCAGTATTTGTGCAGTATTTGTGTATTTTGTATATCCCACTGCACTACTATATGCTTTTGTAAGCCATCCTGAGTCCCTTTTGGGAGATGGTGGCAGGATAAAAATAAAGTTGTTGTTGTTGTTGTTGTTGTTGTTGTTGTTATATTTTACTGACACAAAACACAGTATGACACAGCAAATGAGATATATATGCTGGATTTCGTATCACAAAATCACAAGTTGAACACTTCCCAAGTGTTTAAGACTATTATTATTATTATTATTATTATTATTATTATTATTATTATTATTATTAGAAACATAACAAGATTAGTACCCAGCAAACAAGGTCACTATGCTGCCTGTTGTATTGGATCACACGTCAGACACTTCCCAAGTGTCTAGGACTGTGTGATGTATCAGCAAATAATGTATGCAGATCCCAGTAGGGTGGCCTTTAGCAGCTGACAGATGGTAATTTTGTCAGCGCGATTGTGTTTAAGTGCAGGCCAAGGTCTTTAGGCACTGCACCCAGTGTACAGATCACCACTGAGACCACCTTTATTGGCTTGTGCCAGAGTCTTTGCAGTTCTATCTTTAAATCCTTGTATTGTGTCAGCTTTTCCAGTCGTTTCTCTTCAATCCTGCTGTCACCTGGGATTGCAACATCGACAATCCATATTTTGTGTTTTAACATGACCGTGAGATCAGGAGTATTGTGCTCCAAAACTCTTGTCAGTCTGAATTAGTATTAGCACACAACAAAATGTTGTTCTAAATTCTGGAACATCAGCCTACCACTGCTCACTTATGAATGCCTTCCGTGTGTCATAATATAAATTCTTTTTTAAAGTAAATTTCTGAGCTGAAAGAGCTGCTGCAGGTGAGAAGGAAATGGAAAGTCTCCTTCCTCTTGTTCTTTTCCACCATTATTTATTTGAATCCCAATAGAGTGGGTGACTTTATGCTAAGTTTGGCATATCGTTATTTTTTTCTTTGGTTATTTTACAGGCCAAGACTTGTGAAGAAATGGGCCACTGGCTTGGTCTCCTTTTATCAGAATCTGGCTCAAAAACAGACCCTGAAGAACTCACCTATGATTATGTTGATGCCGACAGAGTTTCCTGCATTGTCAGCGCAGCAAAGAATTCATTACTGTAAGTTACAGGGGAAGGTGATTTGACATCCAGACTTATTTTCTTTTCGGCTGATTTTGTTAGTGCCTGTCACTGCAAAAGGAATTGCTTTGTGGGTGAAAGGGTAGAAGCATCATTTGACAGGGATATAATTCTAGCAAAAACAAACAGCAAGAAAAGAGTTTGTTTTGAAATATCAAATACCCACTATGAAAGGTGTGTTCATTTGAAATAGCCACTTTGTGAGAATTGCATTTTGTACATGGTGGAAGGAAGACAGGGGTTGGAAGCAACAACTGGAATACTAGGAGTGTGGTCTGAGCCCATACAGCAGGGGTGTCCAAACTTTTTAAGCCAAGGGCCAATTCACGGTCCCTCGCCCTGTTGGGGGGCCAGACTATAGTTTGAAAAAAGCATGAACACATTATGCCCACTGCATATTTCTTACTTGTAGTGCAAAAAAAATCCATGAAAGTACAATACCATATATAAAACGCAGAACAATTTTTAATGTAAATGTAAAAGTCTTTCAGTGGGAAATGTGGGGCTGCTTTTGGCTGATGAGAGAGTCAAGTCAAATAGGATTGTTGTTGTATCCCTTCCAGTAGTTTAATACAGTGGCATATGCTGCCTCAGAGTCTGATGGCATCTTCTTCTTCAGCAGAGGCAGCATGGCTATCTGTCAGGAGGGCTTTGATTGTGGCAGGGGGCTTATATTTGCCACCTGGCTCTCCCCTTTTCCTCTCAAGGGAGGATCTGCAGCAAAGGGTAACCTTTTTGGCGGGGCGGTGACAAGGGATGCAGGTAGGGCAGAGAAGGAAGGGAAGGAAGCCGAAGAGGCAGCAGCGAGCGCCTGGAGAAAGCAGGGCAATTTAGGAGCCTTCCTTTGCAAAGAAATAAAGAAAAACTTGTAGGGGGGAGTGGGAGAGAGAAGGGGCCAATGGCACAGGATGCCCAAGACCAGAGCCGCCTGAGAAGGTGATGCTTAATTGGAGTGAAGGGATGCACAAGGCCTCCATCTCTCTTTCTCTCCTGCCGTGGAGCCTGCCTTTTCTGGGTACCTGATCCTCAAGAAGGAAGGAAGGAATTAAGAGAGGAAGGAAGTCAAGAAATGGAGGGAGGGAGGGAGGGAGGGAGGAAGGGAGGGAGGGAGGGAGAAAGTCAAGGAAGGGAGGGAGAAAGGAAAGAAGTGAGAGAGGGAGGTCTGGAGAGAGAGGGCCAGTGGAAATTTGAACAGGGGCTGCAATTGGCCCCCGAACTGGACTTTGGATATGCCCACCATACAGTCTTTGATGGCATTTCTCCTTTCACCTTTTCCAGCTTAATGCAGAGGAAGTATTCTGAGCCCAACACATACATTGACAACTTACCAAAGGAAAAGGAGGAACAAGAAGAACTCTATGATGATGTAGATGTTCCAGAGTCAACAATGGTGAGGTCTTGCAGTGGACACCATTTTGTTGTTTTTTTCTTGCTGGAAAGGAAAAGTGATCCTAATCATAAAATGACCAAAACCACACAGTGTTTTGTTTCATGTCCATACCCTTACTTATTTATGAGTAATAATTAAACAATATTTGAATTGGGATGCTGATTATATTGTTTTTCACAGGATTAATATAACAAGTATTAATATTATGCAATAATATTATGGACTATTGAATTTCTGGCCTTTTTCTTGCTGTATTTGTATCGACCTAGAATTATTCTAATATAATCCATTTAATATTTCTCATCAGGAAATGCCTCTGAATGAAATCAAATCTGAGGGGGAACAGGATAGAGTCTACCTTGACCTCACACCAGTTCAGTCTTTTGTGTACTCTGCTGGGAGGAAACATGGTCAGTTGACTCCTTCAGTCTCACCTTCTCTTCAGAGATCTGTCAACAAGAATTCAACTGATTCTGACAAAGATTTATCCACGCTCTATAAAGAAGGAGAGTTGAATAGACGACCAGTGGAAGCTGCAGACCAGGTACTGTACAGAAAGAAATCTGAAATACGGAAGAAGTATATTTCTGTGTCAGAGTACATACATAGCCTGCAGAAAGTCCAAGATTTATATCCTGGTAGTTTTAATGAACTACTTTAATAACTGCTGGAAGTATAGTTAGCTGTAGGAAGGCTGACTCCAGGAGGAATGTTAGAATAGCCATGCTTTTATTACTAGGCATAGCATTTAGTTTTAAAAGAACTATCAGATGGGAAAATCACTCTGTCCAACATACTGACAAAAAACACTACTAATCAGAGCAAATAGTGTTAGACCAACTAGTTTAAGGTGACCATCTGTGACCCTCCAAGTGTTTTAAAATTTAAACTCCATCAGCCCTAGCCACCATAATAAGCGGTTAAGAACTATAGGTGCCTCATAGGTCAAAAAAATCTGGAGAACCATTTTTATCCACACTGGATTAGAAGCACAGGTTGTCTAGCTTCATAATAAAGCGGTTTGCTGGGAAAATCAGTCAGGAGTTGCATTCCACAATTCACTAAAGTGCTGCTCCCCACTTCTACTCCCATTGCCAAATTCATTGTTTCTTGTAAATAGTGGAGGTTACACCGCTTGTTTTAAATAACAATTGTGCTTCCTAGAGGCAAATAAATAAGAATAAATGTGATTCTCTTAAAATGAATTTGCATAATCGCCATCCTCCTTATTCACCAGGGAAAAATGCTGTGATTTTACTTCTCTGGCGGCAGTGGGGAACCAAAGGATGACCATGGTCTGCTTGTTGCTCACTCTTAAATGACAGTAATTTTCACTGTGTTGTTTAATCTCTACTACATTCTTTTGTTCTGTTGTCCCAACAGAAGCCTTCAGATATAGATGAGCTCCTACCACTGAGGACAACCACAGTCAAAATCCAGGCACAGCAACAGCAAATTGCCTTTCAACAGAGTGCCTTTGAGATGAAGAATGCCACCACAATTGTGTCTGTGCCCAAAGAGAAAGGAGACCGGCCCAAGGTAGTAAATCCAGGTGAGTTGACTGACTGTAACAATATTTTTCAGGCCAAGAGCTTGAGAATCAAGACTTACAAGTAATGTCTTCTGTTTGACCATCTGTAAAAAAAAAATAACAATTTTGCCAATTAATGATGTGACTAGATTCCTATCATTCTGCTGTTTTGCTAAATCAGGTGACATAGCTCAGTATAATTTTGTGTCTTCGTCTGCAGCTCCTGTTGAAGCCAAACTAGGTAAAAACAGGACAGAGGCTGAAGTGAAGCGATACTCAGAAGAGCGAGATCGCCTAGAGAAGGAAAAAGAAGAAATCCGCTCTCAGCTAGCACAACTTCGGAAAGACAAGAGGGAGCTGAAAGAATTGTTAACAAACTGCACAGGTAAATATCTCAGGATGTCCTTAATTTCTGCTAGTGCCACTAAGAGAAGAGCTTATATTCTTACATATGTGTCCCAGTAGATCTGGTGAGATGAAGACTAATATGCCAGAAATTTATCTTGTAAGCTGCCAGTCATGATCCTCACCAAATTCCTTTAAAGTTTGAAGACAGAAGAAGAGAAATTTGTTCATGTCATCAAGAGTTTTATTGATTGCGCTTTTTTCGTGACTTGAGAAACCGCAAGTTGCTTCTGGTGTGAGAGAATTGGCAGTCTGCAAGAACATTGGGGATGCCCAGATGTTTTACCATTCTGTGGGAGGCTTTTCTCATGTCCCCACATGAGAAATCTGACAGGCAGGAGCTCACCCCGCTCCCTGGATTCGAACCGCTGACCTTTTGGTCAGCAATCCTGCTGGCACAGGGATTTAACCCATTGTGCCACCGGGAGCTCCTTCATTGACTGCTAATGTTAATAGTATAATTGCATCTTTTATACCCAGCTTTATCTGTTCCTATCTCCAGCTATGTGCATTATTCATAGATACCTGAATTCATAAATTTATCCTCCATGCATTGAACAAAGTGGACAGTAATCCTTGAGAGTGCACACTATAATAGATGTTAGTCTAAGGCAGTGGCACCCAAGGTTTAGTTCTCCAAGTATTTCGAAATTCAAAATCCAACCACTTCAGTCTAGAATTCCAGGAGCAGAAACCCTTGGAAACCACTGTTCTAAGAGATATCATATAATTATTTTTTTCTTTTCCATATATCCTACCCCTACCTTAAGAGTGGGGGAAGAGGCTAGACATTTGCACAATGCCTGTCACTTACTATTTATTCACATCCATGTGTTTAATAGACAAGAGTGTTTTGTCTACAATGGAGCAAAACCTGAAGGAAATAGAGGAGGAGTGCAAACGGAAAGAAGACCAGCGGGTGGACTTAGAGCTGAACCTTGTGGAAGTAAAAGAAAATCTCAGGAAAGCCGAGTCGGGTCCAGTTACTCTTGGCACAGCTGTGGATACCACACATCTTGAGAATTCGAGTCCCAAAGTATGTGGCCAAATCTTTTGATTGATAGTAATGGTGGAACCTTTTTCAGCGGAGGGAACCAGCTTCTCTTGATCACTTATGACAACACAGGAGACTAGGGATTCAATAAACGTGTATTTTAAGAAAGAAAAAATCAGCAGAGTGCATCTTGTGGAGAGGGGGATGAATTATCTCAACATTTATCACAAATCAAATAAATCTTTGGCCCTTTCACCCAATACCATTTTCCCAATCAAAACCTGAGTGGGATGCTTTCACACTGCATGTCTTATGGCACTTTTGTGAGGCGCTAGAGCTCTCTGATTGATTATTCTAAAGACTATTCAACAATGATGAAAACCAACATTCTATAGGATAGAACTATAGTAATTTAAGTGAAATCACAGTGCCGTAATGATGTAAGACTCACAGAGTGGTGTAGTGGTTAGAGGGCTAGTCCATGAACATGAGAACATGAGAGAGCTGCCTTCTAGTCTCCAATAGGCCTTGAAACTCACTAGGTGATTTTGAGCCAGAGCCATAACCACTCTGAAGGATATGAAGAAAATAAGTATAACTGACAAATAAATAAAATTGGGTTGTTGCAGGTTTTTTGAGCTGTATGGCCATGTTCTAGAAGCGTTCTCTCCTGACGTTTCATCTGCATCTATGGCAGGCGAGGATGCTTCTAGAACATGGTCATACAGCCTGAAAAACCTACAACAACCCAGTGATTCTGGCCATTAAAGCCTTCGACAATACATAAATAAAATTACACATCAACTTGCTTTGCAGCTGTTAATAGCAATATTGGAATCCAGGTTTCTCTCCTGCTGGGCTAAAAGCACGGAATGAGCATATAACTCTCCTTCTTCTTCGCCTTCCCCAAAGCTGATTTTTCTTTTTGTAGCTGATTCATCTGGCCAGTTTACTGTTCTCCAGCCATTGCTGTCTGCTTTTAAAAAGACCTCAAGAAATCCAATTACTGTTCTCCTGTGTCTTGAATCACTGAGCTTGCAGTAAAAATGTCGTTTGCATATTTGTGAAATTGCTTCTCCTTCCTCAGTGTAGGTGCTGCCACTTCAAAGTGTTAATCAAAACTCCTCTTAAAACCACTATTTGACCTAGTTCTATTTAGATTAGCTTTTAATCCTTCCATATTGATGCAGAATAAAACTTGAGGGAACTTCTGCTTCAAGCTATAACTCCCACAACCAGGGACAACCCAAAAGAAATTAACCTTTTCAAGCTCTGCTTTAAGCATTTAAAACCAGAGGCCTCTTTGAGTTCAAATGCTTGTCAACGTATTTTATTATTATTTATATGATCACAAATATTCTTTTTTCTATAAAAACAGATGAAAGTTGCCAATCCTATGAATAGTACAGAAAGCTCACCTGTCAATTCAGCAATGGCACTAAAGAACCGGCCACTGTCTATCATGGTCACAGGGAAAGGAACCGTTTTACAGAAGGCTAAGGTAAGTATGGGAACTGGTCCACGCTCTTGTTACATCGAGAATAGATTACTGCAACGTGGGGTTGCCTTTGAAGACTTAGGAAGCTTCAAATGGTCCAATAGGCAGCAACCATGTTTCTCACTGGAGCGGCATACATGGAGTACACAACCTCTCTGTTATGCCAGCTCTACTGGCTACCAATCTGCTACTGAGCACAATTCAAAGTGCTGGCTTTAGCCTACAAAGCCCTAAACAGTTCTGGTCCAGCTTACCTGTCCAAACATATCTCCCTTTATGAACCATTATAGAGGTTAAGATCTGCTGGGGAGGCCCTGCTCTCGGTCCCAACTGCTTCGTAAGTGTGGTTGGTGGGGACAAGAGATAGGGCCTTCTCAGTAGTGGCTCCTCAACCTGTAACTCTCTCCCCAGTAAGATTAGATTACTGCCCTCCCTCCTGGCCTTTAGAAAGAGAATAAAGACATGGTTGTGGAACCAAGCTTTTCATTAGCAAAGTAACACAGTACAAGAAGTAAGTATGGAATATGTTTAATTGACATCTGGAATGGCCTGGTCTATGAGTTTGGATCATGTGATTTTAATGTTTTTATTAGGTGTTTTTAATTTTTATACTTTATGTTTAAATTTCTTATTATCTTATGGTGAATTTGTCCTATTGTATTTTCTCCTTAGTCATATGCTGTTCAATTTATGATTTGGTTTATGTATGTAAGGCATTGAATTGTACCATTATTATTATTATTATTATTATTATTATTATTATTATTATTTGTAAATGGATTTGAGTCCCCACAGGAGTGAGAAAAGCAGTAGATAAATACTGTAAACAAACAAACAAACTGTATCCATAATGGGTATGTTATCTTCACATTGAGCCTGAGGAAAGTTAGCATAGAGAGTATTTTTAATGCGTAAGTCATGATTAGGAACCCCAATACAAACAATTCAATTTGAATTTTCTTTTCTTTTCTTTTTGCAGGAATGGGAGAAGAAGGGTGCTAGTTAGGGTCTCACAGCGTCAAGAATGGACTTATAACTAGAGTTGGCCATTCATGGACTAAAGGATTCTATTGACAGTAGATAAACGGTCCAAAAAAGGCAAAGCATTGCAAGAAGTATACTGTGTTGCTCCATCTAGAAGAAACCATGGACTTCGGCCAGATGCTTTCTAGCTGTGTGTAGAAGAAGACCCGGCTTGCCAAAACAGGGCCTTTTTTTTAGAACAAGGATGTTGCTCCTTTTTAGCAAAGTTGCACTGTGTAGCAGCAAAGAGAGTTAACACAAGTGGAAACATTGCTTCTAATCCCACTGTTGTCATAAATATGTTGCTGTACATAATGGATGCTTTTGTGTATTTCTACTTTTGGTGTTTATAGCATTGTGAAATCCAGGATTTGTTGTTTAATGTTACATAGAGGTGGTTGTCTGAAAGGTGGGGTAAAGACAAGGTAAATTGAAGACTCCTTGTTAGACTTTTAATTTGCATAAGAGTTTTAGTAACCAGTGGAGAAAACTTGGGAGAAGCTCAAGGGCATCAAGCAACCCAAAAAGTGGCTGCCTTCTAGTTGTATGTAAAATAAAAACCATCTTGTGAGAAATAATTCCTAACCAAAATAGAGTATGATCAGAATTTAATATTGGTACAAAGCACGCTTCTCTACGTGAGAAATAATCAACCAGTTGTGGCCATTGGAGTTGACAGGGATGCATTCCGAACACTGAGTTCATGGACATTTACCATCCCACAATCATAAAGAATCCTTCTATATCCAAGGAAACATCTCACAATATATTGAATATTGATGTGAACCCCAAAGCCATGCATGGATGGAGGCTCAGTTTGTGGAACTGAACCAGAAGGTTGTTTAAAATGCCAATAAGTTAATTCCTAAATTGCTGTGACTGATATTTGTTCACACGGTTCAAGGTGATTTGAGGCATAGTGAAGGGGTAGCATTTTATTTAGTGTCGTTCATGATGTGATTCCTAATGATACCAATGCACTTTTGCAGTGCTTCACAAAAATAGCCATATAATGGTTTCCCTTTTCAGCCAGTAATATATCCTTTAGTATCCTGTACAGCAACCAGCATAAGGAGTATGCTGTATATGTACGGAATTAAATTCAGAAGCTTGAAAAAAAAGCATGACCCAGATACCAAGAATAGTATCACCAAAATATTATTTTCAAAATACAGAATCCTCTCAATGTTTTTAAACATTGTTTTGCCTACAAACAAGAGCATAATTAAAGCAAGACAGGACTCGACTGAATTCTCTTCAGAAAATTACAGAGATTGGGCATGGCTTTACACCAAAATTATTGAGACGTTGGATTTAACGTTTGATTTTGTCTGTATATGAATAATTTCTCGAGGCAAGGTATTTCATTCTAACATTGTGCTCCATCATGTAAATTCAGATCGACCCATCAGACTTACCATACCAAGGGTCTTGTCAATCATTTTCCCATGCAACAAATTAGTACTCATATCAGTTCATTGTTGCAGGAAGTCTAATATCTGTGCCCCAGCTAATAAGTGCACTGTGATGAAATAGTTTCTCAGCAATTAAAGCCACGGGGAATATGCTGTTTATCCAGAATATATACAGTAGCTCTCTACATCCACTGGGGTTAGGGGCATTCCCCCCCCCCCAAAAAAAAGCAATGAAAATTCAAATAAGAAAATAACTATTTTGGAGGACTGAGACCACACCTCTGTAGGAATCCCTAGGTGTGCCAGTGCCAGTAGTGTTAGTCATCTTCCATTACAGGATAAGCTGCCAATGGCTAGAGAAGTGTTCTCTAGGAATCTCCAGGTCCTCTACTGCATTTCTATGTTCAATTTACACTTTTTTATGTCAGGAGCAACTTGAGAAACTGCAAGTCACTTCTGGTGTGAGAGAATTGGCCGTCTGAAAGGACATTGCCCAGGGGTCGCCCAGATGTTTTGCCATCCTTGTGAGAGGCTTCTCTCATGACCCCACATTGGGAGTTGGAGCTGACAGAGGGAGCTTAACCCGCTTTCCCTGGATTCGAACCGCTGACCTGTCATTGGTAATACTGCCAGCACAAGGGTTTAACTCATGACATAGAGATTCCTAGGAAGAACGCATTAATCAAATTAATGGATAGACAAATCCATGAGAAAACATACCCACGAATGTGGAGGACTAACTGTATAAACTGAACATAGCCATTTGTGTAATGTGACTGTATGCTATGGGCTCATTCCTGTTATTTAAGTGATGGTTCTATCAGACTCCTTCCCCGCATGCCAGAATTTTGGATCATCAAATCATGCTACATCTTCTTCATTCACATTTGTGCTGTCCCATGTGTGAATGACCATTTTAACAACCTTCTACTAATATGCTTGCTCACATGTGCATTCTAGGAGATTTAGTGAGCTATTGTACAAAATAGTTCACCTCCAAAATAGTAACTGATCCAGATTGAGGAAACATTGGCTTTGAGCCCTAGAAATGCTCAACTTTGGCTGAATTATGTCAGGTTAGAGCCTTCTGGAAAGCTTAGGGCTCAAATGCAGACCCAAATTCCAGGTTTATGTACCTTCTGCTCTTTTATAGGTGAAACCACGTATCCTGAGATTTCTTCTTAGTGAGTGAGAATAGGCTGCCAGTTTGCAGGCAAAGAGTTATCTAAGTTAATTACAAATTATGCATATATCAATTCAACAAGTGTTCTGTATTCAAAGAAGTGGAAAGAACACATACACAAATAGTTCACAGACCACCAACCCATTTGAAGTAGAGTGCCTTGTACCACATTTGTAGAGCAGCAGGTAGTTCACCTCAGTCTTAAAAGATTTCACAGTGCAATATCCACACTTGTTCTTAAAGTATTGCTTTAAGTATTGCAAACTCCTTGACCATTGTATATGCACTCAATATCATTCTACCATATTTTGTGATGTCTGTATTCTGTTGTGTCATTTACTGGTGCTACACAGGGATTAAGATTGAAATGTTAAAGCAGGGAGGAGATAGAAGAGTCAAGAAAGCTTTGGTACTTTTGATGCCCTGACAACTGGAAAGCATCAAGGGGGAAAGTACTGGAGGTGTAGCAACTGACTCTTTTGCTCCACCTTATGTAATACAGTTCTGTGTCATCCCCAAAGTACTATAGCCAATTGTGACAAGACACAGAGATTCAATACAAAAGCAGGTAATCCAAAAGGTTCATTCATGGAACTGTGCAAAAATACTATTACAGCTTAGCTGGCTAAAATACATTTTTCCCTTTGTTGTATATGTGTCTAAAATAGCAACCCAATCGGTTGCTATTTTAGAGGTGTTTTGTAAAAAAATTAAAATACAAAAATAAATAATGATGTTGGTTCTATCTTAAATCTGTGTGTTTTTCTGACAGTTAACTAGTTGAGAACAAGGAAGCAACCACACAGTGTTTACCAATTGCAATGTTAGTCTGTAATATCAGAATGCAAAGCGATTTTGTAGTACCTTAGAGATTAACTGAGAGAAGGAAAAAATGGTGGCATAAGCTTTTGTAAACTAGGTGTACTTTTTCTGAAAAAGTAGACTTAAGTCTTCAAAATCTTATGCTACCGACTTTGTTCTCTCAATTAGTCTCTAAGGAACTGCAAGATCCCTTTGCACAGTATTTACCAAGTGACACTGAATTCCCAAACCCAGATACAGACAAGCTTTTCAGTTTTAAAACCTGGAGGACTGTTATATGTATGCGTACCTTCATGTTGCTCATCAACTTATGATGATCCCATAATTTCATAAGGGCCAACAAGGAAAACCCAATTCCTTCCTTTGAAATATGTCCTTGTATTCATTGGCAGCCTTCCATCCAAGTACCAACAAAGAACTGACCCTGCTTAGCTTTTAGCTTCCAAGATTAGAGGGATTTGGTGCCTGTAAGGTATGCTATTGGACTCTTAGTATTCTCTAATACTCTGCAAAGAACTTCTTTCTCTCCGGTGGCAAGACCTCTTATACGGATTTTTGAAAGAATAAAAAAATCATACTCTTCTGTCCACTAGAGAGCACTCATGTGTAGCATTTGACATGTACTGGCCAGGATATAAGCATCTCTTTCTTCGGCTCTCTATATGCTTAAATCATGGCTCTTTTTGGCCCACAAGCTTATTCATTCCATATATCTCATGAGCCATCAACAATATTTGTATTATGAAGTATTCCACATTTCTGAGTGGCGGGGGGACGGGGGTTGGGGATGGATGGTGACATAAGCTTTTGCTGGTTTTAATATTGTATTAAATCAGTCTTCAGCTGCATATGGATATTGTCAAATCAGCTGTGTATCTGGGAACATGCTTGATGTTTCTGCAATCCCAGATAATCAAGTGGCACATTGGAGGTGCCAACAAAATAGCTGCACACCATTCAGGAAAGTAGAACTGCATGTGCAATAATATACTTGCAGAACTCTACCTACACAACTATGAACTGAAAATGGATCTTACAAGCAGATGTGTAAGGAAACCTGCATATCAGTAAGGCTGCCAGTTCCTATTTCAACTATTTCATCATCTTTTCTACTTCAATATGCCACATTCAAGATGGCTCTCAATAAGTTCCAATACAATCAATATATATATATATTGGTACATCATACTGAACGGAGCTCAACAACAGCTTTGCATGTGTGGGAGGGTTTCATTTGTCCTTATAAGATAGACTTGAATCCAGGTAAGATACAACTGCTTTAATGATACTTAAAAGTCACCTTTCGACTTATGGTGACCTCAAGGGATTGTTTAGGTAAGGGCCTGATCCTACTTAGCTTAAAAGATCAGACAAGATCTGCCTCTAGGGCATTTAGGTTGTTCTTGTTCTGTGCCTTCAAGTTGTTTCCAATATATAATAACCCTAATTGTGGAGTTTTTCTGCCAAGATTTGTTGCCTTTTCCTTCCTCTGAGGCTGTGAGGATCTGGCTTGCCAAAGGTTACCCAGTGGGTTTCCATGGCCAAACAGCGATTTGAGTTCTGCTTTCCAAACTTATGGTCCAACACTCAAACCACTACACCATACTGGCTCTCCCTGATTAAGATTATCGATGACTAAATTAGGTTACAATATTTTCAGCCAACCACTGTCTAAATACCATATGTTATGTAATCTGAAGAGTGTCATCTTGTCCCTTGAAAGAACTTCCTTTGCATCCGGATACATAACAGAGATGCAAACATTTTGGTGCACAAACATAGCCATTTTCCTTCGCTTTTCAAAAGGGGTGGTGAGATTTCAATGTGTTTGGACTTACCTTGGATGTAGGGCACAACACTGTTTTTCACAACACACATGCTGCTTAACACTGTAACTTCTTTTAGCTTTATCAACCTATCAGAAACTTTGTTAGAGTTGACTCTAGACATTTTGCTGCCTGAATCACAGGAGAAAGTAGCATCTTTCTCCCCTGCTGCCTATTAAATCTTTCTTCAGGACTGGCAATAAGACGTATCCTCCACTGTACTTAAAAGCACCATCTCTCTCCCCATTCCCCCACCCCCAGCTGCCTCTTCCCACCATCTGCCATCTAAGGACACCACATTGCAAGTTCTAATGGTAGATCTGCCCTAGGCTTCAACCAAGTAGAGTCTGAATTTGTTTTCTCAATATACTGAATAGAGCTGAAAACTACTATGGACTATAAATATCTTTGTATGCTGTACAAATTTCATGCCCCCGCATCGATATTGTAAGTGAATCTGACATAACATTACTTGGCAGGGATGACAGCATTGTTCCATCCAGACCCAGAAGGAACAGCTATAAAATCTGTGCTGATATAAGAAACAGAACTAAGCAGCCTCCACTGTTTGACCAATTAGATCAACCAGCTTTATCTCAATCTCATCATCATTCCTTGGGTTATCATGATTCATCAGCATCTTTCATATTACTTTACCACAGTAGGATTTGGTAACAAAAATGGAGCTGGTACATAAAGCAAAGCATTTATTGGATTCTTTAGCCGTTATATGCTATGTTGCTGATGCAGTGCTTCAAAGCAATAAAACATTATCGGTCAGGCACAATTTAGAAATGGTTTTATACAATACAAAATATCTCCTCTATTCTCTCACACACATAATAGGGAACAAGTGAATTTGCTCTGTTATTTCTGGGAAGCCAAGTTAGCCAAAAAAAAAGGGGGGGGGGTATGGTTACACATAGACTAAACCACAGTTCCAGATCTCTGAAGGCAAATGCAAGAGAGGTTCCCTTGTTCAACACCTCAAGCTCCCTGTGTGTTTTAACATACAGAGAGGATGGGGGAAGAAAAGAAATCAAAGCATGCTCAGAAATGCCTGTTTCGTTGTAAAAAGATACAGCTCCCAACCCTCATCAACACAAATTCACAAGGAATGCTGGGAGCTGGAGTCCAACATCACCTAGACAGCCATACAGTTCCCACCCTGTTTGGAGTTAGAAGTACTGCTGAAGAACTCTAAATCGTCAGCAGCAAAATTATTCTGAGAACATCCTGAGTTATTTTAGGTCAAGTAGAAGACTTTTTCAAATTCACCTATAAATTGACTTCTTGGTGCTGTAACAACTTTGGAGGATTAAAATGATGTGAAATGGTCCTTCCAGTCACCCAGAGGGCATGACGGGCATTTTTGGTATCCCCCCAAAATTTTGGTATCCCCATAATTATTTGTTTTCCAAGCTATATATGTACATGCCTTCAAGTCACTTGCAGACTTATGACAACTATGTGGATTTCAAAGGGTTTTCTCAGGCAAGGAATACTCAGAGGTAGTTTTGCCACTTCCTTTCTGTGAAGTACATCTTACTGCACCTGGTTTTCATTTGTGGCCTTTCACCAAAGTACTTACCAGAGCTGATGTTCCTTAGTTTCCAAGATCAGATGGGATCTGGTACCCTTAGGGCAGTGGTTCCCAACTTTTTTTTTTTTACCACGGACCACTTTGACCAGGGACAATTCTCCAAGATTAGTACAAATCAGTTTTTGGTCAACTTTAGATTCAGTTTTGTTATTTGGGGTGCTGATACAGAAAATTGCATTAGCTGGACCACATCAGCTCTAGTTTCTTATACAGAACATATGCCATCTGCTCATCCACAGAAAACCATATTTAATAATCTAGAGATGATGTAGACTATCCAATGCAGTTTTCTGAATCTGCACCCCAAACGACCTCAGAAACAGGCCTAAAAACAAAGGCACCAAGAAAAAATATGTTTTTTTAACAGCCAAATTGAGATAAGTAATGCACCCCTAGGATTTCAAACTATTTTAAGATGTTGGGGAAAATAATAATATGAAGTTAACCTTAGGTTTTTTTAGCGTTTTGATCTGGTTATAAAATGTACCATTGTCTTGAATATCCCATGGAATTTAAAAAATCCAAAATCTTCAGCACTAAGGAATCTATTGTGTAGCATCTTAATGTCTGCATATTAATAATAAATATTTAATATAAAATATAGCAGATGTTAGCAACCTCGTTTGGTTTACCAGGAACTGGTTCTGTGCAAATGTCTCATGCTCTGAAATAGCATTATAGCTTGCAAATACTGCCTGTGTTTCAGTTATTTTGGGAGAGACTTTTCATTGGCTGAAGATCACAGTATTTCTAATGCCCCATTAAATCTGCTGCCTCTGTCTTTTTGACCGCTGCTGAGTTCTGTGCTGCTGCTGCCATCCATGTTGGTTTTGCAGATCATGGATTATCACTGGATGTTTCTGTAAATGTGAAGTGTGTCCCCTCTGAATTCCTGTAACAATTACAACAATAATCACTGTCATTGTCATCATCACCATAATCATAATTTAGTGTTTATGTTATATTCTGATCAACAAGTTTTTTTATTTTAAATGAGGGTTTTCATTTTTACAACATTTAAAGTGAGATATGATTACACTTAGTGGTGTAGTGGGTTAAATTGCTGAGCTGCTGAACTTGCTGACTGAAAGGTCGGCAATTCGAATCCGGAGAGTGCAGTGAGCCCTGCTCCTGCCAACTTAGCAGTTCGAAAACATGCAAATGTGAGTAGATCAATAGGTACCACTCCAGCGGGAAGGTAATGGCACTCCATGCAGCCATGCTGGTCACGTGACCTTGAAGGTGTCTACAGACAATGCCAGCTCTTCAACTTAGAAATGGAGATGAGCACCACCTCCCAGAGTCAGACACAACTGGACTTAATGTCAAAGGGAAAACCTTTACCTTTTTATGATTACACTACCTGGTACCCAGTCCCACAGTATGAATTGGTTGTATATGTATTTCTTTATTTAAGATGCTTATCAAAGCCATGAATATTTGTTCTTGTTAATGAAACATAGAAAAAATAAAACTATAAAATAACAACTACTTAACTACATTTTAAAGTCCTCACTATACTAACATCTCGCAGAGGTTGAAAACAAGAATAGCTGCACACTGTCAACTCTTTGAGTATTAGCTAGTCATATTCAGGATAGTTTTAAAAAATCCTTTAGGAATGCATTCTTTTCATTTCGCTGATACTTCTATTCCCATTACAATGTTAATAACAATGTTAATAACGTTAATATACGGCTCCGGCCCAGCTTACTTATCCAAACGTATCTCTCTCTACGTTCCTGCTCTCAGTCCCACCAGCGTCTCAAACGCGTCTGGTGGGGACGAGGGACAGGGCCTTCTTGGTGGTGACCCCCCGCTTGTAGAATTCGCTCCCCAGCGAGATTAGATCGGCGTCCTCCCTCCTTACTTTTAGGAAAAAAACTAAAGATGTGGTTTTGGAGCCAGGCCTTTGGCTAGTGGGCACAACAGCACTTTAGGCACTGAACTCGGACAATAGGATTGTTTGAAAATTGGAAATGGCTTTATGACCTGTGATTATGTGATCTGTTCTATGTGGTTATGTAATTTTAATTAATATCACTGCTTAATTGTTATGTAATGGATTTTATATTGCTGTTTTATATTGTTGTTTTGATATTGTTGGCATTGAATAGTTGCCTGTGTTAGCCGCCCTGAGTCCCCCCTCGGGGGTGAGAAGGGCGGGGTAGAAATGGTCTTAATTAATTAATTAATTAAAATTAGGGGAAAAATATTGTAAAATGTATATTGGCTGTTACCATATATGTCAGTCATTTCTGATTTATGGCAGCGTTAAGACAACTCTAGAGTGGGATTTTCTTGGCACAGTTTGTTTAAAAACAAAAGGTTTGTGAGTTAGACACCTAAAATTGAACAGAAATATTTTGCAATGAGCCTTACTGTTTTCACAATGTGGTCCTTCCCATCCTTGGCATTGACAGCGGTAGCTGCCATTCCCAGGAACACATGTTCCACCATGCATGCAAGGGTTGGGTCTGCAGAGGTTCACAAGTTGCTGAGACTCTGGAAAAGACAGAAATCATAGCAGAGCCTGTTGACTTTCAGAGAAGGAGAACTTTCAGAGCAACATCTCACAGATATTAATGCTGCAGGTACTACCTTACTTGTGGGATAAATCAAGAGATCATACTCTTTGGTGCAATCTTTATAGCAAACTAGAGTGTCTCATGTCCAGGGATCCAATCTGGATCTCCTGGAGTTCTATCTTGGTCTTGAATTATAAGCCATCCACAATTAATTGGCTTTTCAGTGTTTGTTATGTCTATCCTGTCCATCTCCAAAGTTTATGACAATAGAAGTATTAAGCCAACCACTGGAATGCAGCCCCAGGCTTCCCCAGCCTCTCCTCTTAAGTTTGGACATAGCTCTCTTTGGCCCCAGTTTCCAGGTGGCATTCTGTCAATAGAAATCCACAGTGAAAAATTACTTTTTACCAGTGGACTAACAACAGCAACAACAACAACTGTATTTGGATCCCGCCACCATCCCATCACCATCTCTTGGAGCAGCTTACAAAACAGAACGTAGTAGTGCCATAAAAAACACAGAAACAGGTAAGTTACAACTGTATGGCTCCAGGCTTAATCTATAGCCTACTACTCAAATTACAGTTATAGCCCCCGTTTTAAGGTCTGCTACTTGCATCATCACATTCCTTTCTCTCCCACACAAGTTTTGGCAGCAAATTATATCCCTAGCCATTTAAGAAAGGTTAAGCTTTGGCTGCTTAAAGGGCACAAACATTTTCCTACCATAAGCTCTGCTTTGTAAAACAAATATGCTGACCCTCGGAAGTATAGCTATTATTAAAAACAATTAGGAATATGTTGATAATCTTGGATGAAAAGCATATCAGAACAAACTATTTGTGATTCCTTTTGATCTCAGACTTGGAAAGAGAAATTTGAAACAGCTGAACTGAATTATGTTTCCAAATTGCAATCCATTAGCAGAGGTAGAAGCAAATGCAGTGGCTCCCTGACACACTACAAATATTACAACATACTACATACAAGAGTCTTCACTTCTGTGCATATAACAAAAGTAAATTTTGAACCGACCTTTAGTAAGAAGATTTATTGCCTTCATGCCGCTATGCTACCTATACTAAAGACCTGAAAGACTTGTTTTACCTTATGCAGCTCTTTGAAAATTGAGGGCAAGAGACATGATTGGCATCTTTTGAGATCCTATTATCATCTAACCCACTCTTACAACTTACTACTAATCAATATTATATTTGAAAACATGCTAAAATAAAAGCAAGTTAATCAAGACATCATATTGCAAAAGAACAATATGGCTACCTCTTTGTAAACTTTTAAAATGTGTGTAACTTTCCAAAGATTGATGCAGGTGAACTGGGAGTTGGGGAAAAGTTCAATTTGGTTGAACCTGAAGTCACATACACACACATTTCAAAGGTATATGTATATCAATAAGGCTTGTGCATTTTGGCTAAACTTTGATCCTTTTCTGCTGGTTGAATATCGATAGATCTCCGTATCTGTTTTCACGTACCTCCCGAAAATGGGTGGGTAGCTGGATAGCCGTTTTTGGTCTGTAGCCGAAAAATACGGCTAGATCCGGCCCATTGGCAGCAACTGGGAATTTACGATGCACCTCTTTCTGTTACTGGGACCCTCCCCTTTTTTTCCTTCAAGGGAGCCTGGGTGTCAGCAACAGGATTAAGAAAGCACCCTATCCAGCCTGTTATGGGGGGGGGGGTGGCTTCCCAAGCTCCCCTTCCCATCCTTTTAGGCATTGTTTGTCCTTACATTCTTCATTAAGACCTGGATTAAAACATCATAGTTAAGATACCACTCTTTCTGCAATACTTTCCCTTCTGTCTGTAGAGGAGACTGGTTTTAATGCTTCTTTAAAGCTGTTTGTACTCTAGAGGAGAGGCTCTGTAGGGAGGTGTGCACTTTCATGCAGCATGTCACTCAGCTTTCCAAGGCATTTCAAGGAGGCCCGGGGAAGGAAGAGCGATGACTTGGAGCTATCCTCCCTGGGATTCCTTTTTTAAAAAATCCCCCTTTTTTCCTCTACTGCAAGCTTCAATCTCCTTTTTGCTTTTGGTTTAATGCTTCCTTAAAGTTGTTTCCACATTCTACTCTAGAGGAGAGATAAATAGGTGGTAGTAGTTTTCAGAGATTGAGTGTTTTATTTTTGCTTGGAATTAAACCCTTGTGCCAGCAGGACTGAAGACCGACAGGTCACAGGGAGAGTGCGGGTGAGCTCCCTCTGTCAGCTCCGGCTTCCCATGCGAGGACATGAGAGAAGCCTCCCACAAAGGATGGTAAAACATCAAAACATTCTGGCATCCCCTGGGCAATGTCCTTGCAGACAGCCAATTCTCTCACACCAGAAGCAACTTGCAGTTTCTCAAGTCGCTCCTGACACGAAAAAAAAATGCTTGCTGGGACTTATTATTATTATTATTATCATCATTATCATCTTTTAGAAGTATTTGAAGGCGAGGAGGGGAAGGAGAAAAAAACTAAAAGGGTGACCCTCCCAAGCCCCCAAATGCATGCACACACACCACCCATCTGTCCCGCACATCCCCAACTCCTGGTCAGTCCCACTAAATAAAAATAATCAAAAAATAAAGGAAAATAAAAATGGATCCATGCTCAAGCCTAATATCAATGCATATCACCTCACATTATTCTATTTTTGACAAGCTCATAGATTTAGTGCTTAACTGGATATGTTTTTAACCATGCATTTGCTTTCTTGTAACTTTGCATTTTGTGATATTCTTTTAACCAGGATTTTGTGAGATGAGTTGATAATTATGATAGAAGTAGTAAGAACAGAGAGACATTCTCCAAGAAAGACACTTTTACACTCATTACCAAGTACAAAAGGTAATCAGAAAGTCAAAATAGTCCTCTTACCATCACATATCTTTTCAAGTATAAGCCCTTCATTATATTTTAGATCTTTGTATGAAGAAATCCTTAACAGATTATTATGAGAACCAGCAATCTTCAGTAATGAGCCAGTTGGGACATGTCCAATTCCAACAACAACTAGTGATATGTCGTTATTACGAAGCTGTTGAGCAGGGATTATGGCATCGTCCACTCCAGTCCCACTTGTAATCACCACTACAATCTTCTTCACACCAGGTCTTGCTCCTTTTTGGACAGTCATGACATTATCATAAATATGCAGCAAGGAGCTGCCAACTGAGACAGAGCCACCCACAAAGGGAGCTTGACTGATGGCTTTGTGGAGATTTGAACTAGTAACATGTGTGTCCAGCTCAAATATGGTTTGAGGCCTTTTGCCGAAGACAACAAGCCCTATCTGTGTCACATCTCGATTGATGTCAAACTTGGACGACAGACTGCTGATTAAAGTTTTCAAATGCGCAAAGCTGTCCCTTCCAACTGAACCTGAAGAATCCAAAGCAAACACCAAATCCACTGGTTGAGATGGACAATCTGAAAAGAAAAAAAATAGGCAATAGGTTTTCATGAATGTTTAGTTGAATATGTGGTCAGCATTTTAAAAATACACCAAGAGAAGATAATAGAGTTTAACAGATGTCCTTCGGACATTCCGCAATTTAGTCTATCTCACAGAGTTTTTGACAGAATAAAATTTGAAAGTGGAGAGAAAGTATATGTCACATTAAGGCCGTTGGAAGATGGTTAGAATTTAAATGAAACAAACACCATTTCATCTCTAAACAATGCCACCAAAAGCATTTTTCCACTTGAAAGAACAAAAACTGAAATTTGGGAGAATTATAATGTTTCAGGAGGTGCACATAATCTGTTCCCTCCTGATCAGCTTCTCAAGTACTTTTGAAGAATATTTGAGATAAAATCTACAATAGTTTTAGGCAATTAGTCTTAAGGAACTTCACTGAAAAATGATGACTTTGCTCCTATGTTTCTTGTCACATTTTCAAATATGTATCAAAATACACAACTGGCGACGGCAAGCAAAAATTGTCTTACCAATCAATAGGAACCATTAAAATACCAATTAGTCTGGCATCCTTCCAAGAACACTTACCTTGGCTCTCTATGCTGCAGATTTTTCTCTGTAACTCAGCAATCTTGTTGAATAGATCTTGTGGTGTTGAGTAGATAATTGTCCGCTTTGAATTCCCTGTAATTTCTTCCAGCTCAGCTCTCAAAAATTCACTGCCCACTCCAATAAGGAAGACATCTTGGCTTCTGCTATATTTAGCTGCCTCCACTACTGAATCCTGAGCATTTCCATCTGTCAGCAAGATGACAACACGTGGGAGGTCATCAGGGACATCAGCAAAAATTGGCGCACTCTGAAAGCCATTATGCGTAATATACCGCAAAGCTTTGCCAGTCAAGGTGCTCCCCCCATTGAACTGCATGGAATCAATGACTTTTACCAGACTGAGCACGTCTTTGTAGTCCCCAACTTGGGCAGTCATCTCAACATCATTGCTATATTGAGCCACACCCACATTCCCTGAAGTCTCTGCACTCCACACTGTTTGGAGAAATCTTTTCAGGAAAGCTTTGTAGCGTAAGAATCCTTCAAGAGTGGTGCTGGAAGAACTGTCTACTAGAAAAAGAAGGTCCACACTGCATTCAAGACTCAGTTTGGGTGCTGGAATTTTAAAAAGTAAAGAAATGATGTAGAAAATCAGATAAAAACAGAAGAAGCTTAAAAGGTAGGCTACGCAGTCGCTGATGGACATCACTATAGATTAACCCTAGTTAGATTCAGCAATCATAATGAATTATTTTACTATTTATTGCTTTATTGTTGTTTTACTGGTCCAACTTTTGACTTATTTTGCATTTTTGTAATAATATATGCTGATTTAAAACAAAACATGATGTGCAGATGAGGTATAACTCTTAGGAATCTTTAGAGCTTCATCTATTGAATAGGAAGGAACTCCTACTCAATGTCCCACTTCATGCCATGACAGCTGTAGTCTTATGGTACACATAACTTTGCATAGCATAGAGCAGTGGTTCTTAAGCTGTGGGCCGCAGACCACCAGTGGGACATGAGGACAACAATCTAGTCCACGAGCCCCTTTCCTCTTCATTTATTTATTTAATTTCCACCCTTTCACATTGCCTGCCACTCTTTCCCTGTCGCTGACCAAGGCATATGTTCTGTATCAGAAACCAGAGCTGATGTTCAATTTTCTGAATCAGCACCCCAAACCAAATCTAAAGTTAACCAAAAACTGATTCATAACCCTTCCGGTACTAATGTTGGAGAGTGGTCCCTGGTTACATAAGTTAATGTTTTATTCAACTAAATTTCAGTACTACAAGGGCAGTAAAACAATGATGCACTGAAAATTTGCAGCAATAAACATTTGTGAAAGATGGATAGAATAAATAAAACCTAGAAAACATGAGAAATTATATAAACCCATTTTTAACCACCCACCCCCATCCCAAAGTCATGGAATACACAAATGCCCTCTTTCTATTTTCTCATTTTTTGTAGGTTTTATTTATACTATGAGTCTTTCACAAATATTTATACCTGCATTTTTGTATCATTGTTTTGCTGCCCTTGTAGTACTGGAATTTAGTTGAATAAAACATTCACTTCCCTGGTCAAATAGTCCCTGGTCAAGTGGTCCCTGGACAAAGTGGTCCCTGGTCAAAGTGAAGTGCTATCCATTTCTGCTGTCTTCTATTCCTGAACAAACAGTATTATGATAACCCAGAATGCCTTCTGGGAATTGTTTGATACTACCAATGCTTTAAAAATGACAGCACTTGTGCCTAACAGTAATCAACATACCACAATTAGCATCTCCTCCAAATCCAGCTGGGCAGACACAGTGGTATCCTTCTAAACCCTGTTGGATGCACGTGCCTCCATTCTGGCAAGGAAGGGAACTGCAAGGATCTGAAAAATCAAGGGAAAGAATCAGGGAGGGTGGAATTTAATTTGGCATCAGTGCTCACATCCGCAGTGATTTCAGTTACAGGCAAAGCTGAGCCCACAGAAAAGCTGACCACATTTCATTCTATGTTGAATCAGAGTATTTAATCACCATGTTCCGGTCTTGATCCTAGCAACAGCATTCCTTTCTACTTTGATAAGAAGAATAAACTCTGTAACACATTAATGTTGTGAAAGTAAATGTAGGGGGAGTGAGGCAGGTTTATCTGCAGTGGTCCAAGCTAGTCAGATGTAGACTACGAGAAAAATGTAGAAAATGGATTAAGGACTGAAGCCACATATGTACAGACTGAGTAAATACCAATGAAACAAGGCAGGCCATGTTGAGTTTTTAATTAATGTGATTTTAATTATTTAGTTTTATTCATGTTTTGTAGAGTGATAAAATTAAATGAATAGCCTCCATCTATAATCCTTCCTCATCTTCCTACCCATATAAATACATTTATACTCATGCCTCAATAGAAGGGATAACATTAAGGCCCCTTCTACACTGCCCTATATCCAAGGATCTGATCCCAAATTATCTGATTTAAACTTGATTATATGACTCTCCACTGCTAGATAATCTGGGATAAGAAGATCAGATCCTAGGATATAGGGGCAGTGTGGAAAGAGCCTAAGAAGGCATCCTGGACTTACATAAACAGTTGAGTTAAAAAGTGTTAATTGGTTTTATAACAAACCAAAAAGTAAAAATGGGCTGCATTTGTCAGAGGTTACAACCTCTCATTTTTAATCATGCAAAAAATAGAGAGTGGGAGACAAAAAAAATAAAGAAAAGCAAAGAACAAAGAAAAGCAAAGAAAAGCAAAGAAATACAGAATACAAGCAAATAATCAGATGGTTTTGTCTTTAATGTAGTGAATATGATGAGAAGTTTGTTAAGGGTAATCTTTGAAATAAAAATGAACATACCAGAAAAAACTTACCTAAAATCAAAATTCCTTCTTTTATTAAAGCAACACAAAAGAGAAACAAACAGCCTACTTTTCTTTCAGATATTCATTTAAAATTAGTGAAAAAGTCTAGATTTCATTCAGAACTCTTTCTATATATTCAATTTTTCTTCATTCTAACAGACTAATCCTCTAAATTAGTGATTCCTAACCTTTGGTCCTCCAGGTTTTGGGACTTGAGCACCCAGAAGCCCCAACTGTTGGGGATCCTGGAAACTGAAGCCCAAAACAGCTGGAAGATGGAAGGAGGGTAATAACTGCTTCAGATGGAGGGATTCATTTCATTGATGGAGATCCTCCTAGCAGAATGGAAGAACAATATAGCTTTCATAGTTCACCAGAGAAATGGGGAAGATGTCTGAAAAAGAAAGGGGACAAAACTGACCCATTTTCTGCCAGTGTGAAACTCTACACTGATGAAGGAATGCTCTGGATCACAATGTCTTAAATCCTGTTATTTGTCCTAACTTGAATAGACCCATTGAATCATTATACAGTAGGGCAAGGGTCCTCAAACTTTTTAAACAGAGGGCCAGGTCACAATCCCTCAAACTGTTGGAGGGCCGAATTATAATTTGAAAAAAAATGAATGAATTCCTATGCACACTGCACGTATCTTATTTGTAATGCAAAAAGCACTTAAAACAATACAATAATTAAAATGAAGAACAATTTTAACGAATATAAACTTATTAGTATTTCAATGGAAAGTGTGGGCCTGCTTTTGACTGATGAGGTAGAATTTTTGTTGTTGTTGTTGTTGTGTGCTTTCAAGTTGTTTCAGGTTTAGGTTGACCCTGAGTGAGGGCTGGGTAAATTACCTTGGAGGGCCATATTCGACCCCCGGGCCTTAGTTTGAGGACCCCTGCAGTAGAGTCTCACTTATCAAACATAAATGGGCTGGCAGAAGGTTGGATAAGCAAAAATATTGAATAATGAGGGATTAAGGAAAAGCCTATTAAACGTTAAATTATGTTATGATTTTACAAATTGAGTTCCAAAACATGGTGTTTTACAAGAAATAGACAGAAAAAGGAGTTCAATACATAGCAATGTTATGTAGCAATTACTGCATTTACGAATTTCACACCAAAACATGACAATGTATTGAAACGGCTGTGGATTCGGATGGGAGGCAGACTGCGTTGGATAAAACAGAACCTTGGATAAGCAAAGGTTGGATAAGCGAGACTCTACTGTATTTCCCTCTGTGTTGACTCATCATTCAATAACTGATTGCATATAAACTTGCTCTTTCTAGGAATAACCAGAAAGGTGCCAGTCCTAGTTGCTAATGTATGCATCAGCTTAGCTTAGTCCATTATTTTTATTTAAACGAATAACCAAGGTTTTTGAGGAACTGGTCTTACCTGGGCAGGTGGTTCGGTAACATCTAGATGGATATTTGATGAAAGTGTTCTTCCATCTTGAATGAGAAAATTAGGCATTACAAACAAGCTAACAGGTTTCTATAAAATGCAGGTAGAATAAAAAAAGATACCTCACATGGTTAGATTAGGAGCAGAACTCAGGAATAAATTCCATAAAATTCAATTGAGAGTAGTCCAAGTGAAGGCATTTTTAATATAGCCATACCAAAATATATTTACCTGGGAATAAGATTCATTGAAAGGAATGAGTGTTACTTCCCAGCAGACCTGTTTGAAGCTGCATTGTTAGACATTTGCTTGGCACACACCAATAAATATTATCAAAATTAAACATTGCTTTTGCAGAAAGATGTCAAGGATTTATATGGTAAGAAGTTCAAGGGAAATTGCACTTAATTCTTTCTGGGCCTCTCCCTCTTCTCATTTTTCTGCAGAATAAGAATTTCGTACTTGCAAATGCAGCATGAAGGACAGCAAATTGTTTAATTTTAAAAACTCCAACAGTGGGATGGGGAACTAGAAATCCATTCTTTTCATGACCTCCACAGATGAGTACTGTAGTCCAGCTATTACAAAGAATCATCTATTTTCAAAATGTAAAGATGTTTGGATAGTTTTTTTTCAAGTTTATAGCAAGATGGGAGGTACATAAATAAATATATATGCAGAAGTGTGTATATATTTCACCTCATGCATTTTTCTTGTCAATGCTATGTATCTGAACTGCACCCCTAATATCATGTTACTTGTCAATGCTATGTATCTATCACCCACCCTCACATATTACCATCTGATGTCACCACCATGAAGCATACTTTTCCAGCTCAGAAACATACTTTTCCAGCTTTGCTCAGAATATTGTCTTCACTTCTTTTAGACCAGTGGTTCCTCCAGGTGTTTCAGGCTTCAGCTCCCACAATTCCTAACAGCTGGTAAGCTAGCTGGGATTTCTGGGAGTTGAAGTCCAAAACACCTGGAGGACCAAAGTTGGGAACCAGTGTTTTAGACCATCTTAATTCTTCCTAAGCTATGTGTATAACACATTTGCCATTTTAAAACTGTTGGTTTACAGCTTGAGTTTGCAGAAGTTATGTTTGGTAATGCAAGTAATCCAGATTGGTTTACTGTAATGCACTCTACGTGGGGCTACCCTTGGAAACGGCCCAGAAATTTCAATTCAATTCAATTTCAAGATGCAGGTGCTTACCTACAAAGCCCTAAACGGTTTGGGATCCACCTACCTGCGTGACTGCATCACTGTGTACAAACCCACACGATCTCTTCGATCATCTGGAGAGGCCCTGCTCGCGCTCCCACCTCCATCGCAAGTGCGACTGGTGGGGACGAGGGACAGGACCTTCTCGGTGGTGGCCCCTCGACTCTGGACCTCACTCCCCAGGGACATCAGACATGCCCCAACGCTGGCAGTCTCTAGGAGGAGTCTGAAAACGTGGTTGTTCCAGTGTGCCTTCCCTGAATAGGGAAACTCCCAGCAATATGTCCCTAAATGCACTTTTTAGCGATCTAGGATTGTCTACATGCTCTATCCCTCTCCAAAATTTCTATCCTGTTTATATGTCACCTGGTCACACCCAGCATTATCTTTTAAAATTTTAATTAGTACATTGGCCCTGCCATAGGCTTTTAAACGTCGCCGTGTTATTGTTAATGTTTACTGCTATTTTCTGTTTATGAGTTTATTTATTGTTTGTATTGCTATTGCTATTGTTTTTGTTGTTGTATTGTGGGCTCGGCCTCATGTAAGCCGCACTGAGTCCCTTGGGGAGATGGTAGCGGGGTACAAATAAAGTTTTATTATTATATTATTATTTGGTGTACAACTCCCAGAATCCCCCATCAAGCAGGGTAGGTGTGATTAAACAAGGCCATAGTTTTCTCCTTTCTGTTGAAATTGTCCACATGCTTGTGGATTTCAATGGCTTCTCTGTGTAGTGTGACATGGTGGTTGCTAGAGTGTTCTAGCATTTCTGTGTTCTCAAATTATATGCTGTGTCCTTGGTTCATCAAGTGCTCCCAACAGACCTATCTGAGGATGCCTGCTACAGATGAAGGCAAAATGTCAGAAGAGAATGCTTCTGGAACATGGCCATACAGCCCGGAAAACTCACAGCAACCCAGTTATTCTAGCCATGAAATCCTTCAATGACACATTAAGTAAAGCAACTTTCTCTAGCTTATACCCATTGGTTGAAGGCAATCTCAGGTAGAAAACCCTTGAATATCTATTACAGGAAATAAGCAGAAAGGAACTAAAAGGCAGTATTATATCTTTTTGAGTTTTCTTTAATACAAAACTGCCAAGTACACCAAGATTCATTTTACTTTCTAGTTACCTTCTTGATATTTCATTCCTGACACATGCTCCTGCTACAAAGATTTGGCCATACAATTACTTCCTTTCCTGGCACTTGACATTACTTATCTTACATATTCAAGGACATGTCCTCATCTCAGTACACTGGGGATTTTCTTGCTCAACCTACTTCCACCGAACTGACAATATAGCTCTGTGTTTGAAGCCTTCCAGTCTACCATTGCCTGTAATCTGAGCAAAGACAACTTCCTGCCAATGATTGAGCCTTTACTCTGTATCGGTGACAATCTCATGGCACTGTCAAAGAAGCAAGACAGTGGAGAAGTGTTTCTTCCAACCAAAAGGCTTGGAAAAAATATCCAGAGAAACACTGATCATGTGCTGAGTACAGCTGGAAATTCTGAATCTGGGTAATTTTTACTGCATGGAAAGTAATCCTGTGACACTGTATGCAATGCATAAATACAGCCTGGGAGAAATCATGCTGATTTCCACATTTTTAACTGACCTAAATTACGTTCTACACTAGGATAAATCTCCCAGCCTCTGCTTTTCATCTTTGTCTAACTTCTCTTTTTATCTTTGTATTAAAACCTGAATGACTTTCTGCAGACGCAGAATATGACAAAAGAAAAAAAAGCATATTGAAGGGCCTCAACATACTGAATGATGTATCATAGTTCATGTCCCTACATACTACATACATTTCACTAGAACTTGGCAAAATGAATTTTGCCAAGTGAGAAGTCTGTTTTTTATCATAGAGATTGAAAATTAGGAGAATCCATATATACAAGAGCGGATCACTGGAGATGGATATGTGCCATGAGCATATGAAGAAAACTGATCTATCACTCAGGATCTCATCACATGAGTGAGGTCCAGTGTTGCAATTTGCCAGCCTCTGTGGTGAATTGGGGCAGCAGCAGGGCAATCCCAGCACCCCGACAGGCAGATGACAATCCCCATCACACATGGGGAAGAGCCGTGGTGCGGCTTAATCCTATGGTAACCCCATTGTTTCTTATGGCAGCATGGCGTCCTCCATGCTGTTGCCCCAGTTTACCCATGGAACCTCACTGAAAGTCAGCCTACATTAGCTGATGGGTAGTATAGGGCTCCGTGAATGAACTGTGGCAGAAGCATCCTAGGACACTTATTTTTTTCCAAGTGTCATGAGGTTATCAGTTAGCATGATCACTAAGCATGCTAGCATGGAGATTCTTCACTTCACTTCACTTTATTTCTTAATTACTCGCTCTCCACCAAGGTGCTCTGGGAGTCTCAATCCAAAAAGTAACTTTTCCAAGCTTTCTTTTTTATCTGCTCTACTAATATATGAAGTATTAATGTGCTACCTGAGTTGCCTTCGGGCTGATATAGGCAGGATAAAAATAATGTAAATAAATAAAATAAATAAATAAATTGTAGTGTTTACTCCCAGGACGATTATTACAGCAAAGGAAAAATCAGTACACATTAAGCATGGGCAAAGTGTGCTTATTCTACGAATATGCCATCACAAAACCACAGAAACCTAGAATGCGAAGTGACCACACAAGCTATCCTCACTTGGCCCTGAAGGAATGGACAATCAAAGCACTTCCAACAGATAGCCATTCAGCCTCTGTTTGAAAATCAGAGGAGGAGACTTCCTCACAATCCATATTTAGTAGTCTTAAGTAGGCACAGGAGCAGAATGTTAGGTCTCCCTCTGAATACTTCCCTGCTAAGTGCCCATACAAAACGCCTGTTGACATTGCTTGTGAGTGGAATGCCTATTCAATTCTGATATGATTACTGAGGCTCAGGGACTGAACATGAAAGATGGAGGCTGCAATTATATAAAGGCAGTGGCTGCTAGTTTCACCCCCAAGAAAGTCATTGATTCAGCAGATGTCCTGGCTCCTTAGATCATGGACTCACAGAGAGCGCACAACGAAAAAAGAACAACTCACACATGCCTTTTTTAGAAATCATCCGTGGAACCAAGGACAGCCCACAGAACACAGATCACTTAGATTCTGAACTTGAAAAACTTGGGCAGGATTTATATTGAGCTTGCGACTGCTAGCTCCCACCCAAGAAAGTCACAAACTAGCAGAAGTCCCACTACCTTAGACCATGTGCTTAGAGGAGCACATGGCCAAAAACAAACAAAAGCCCACATGCAAGCCTTCAAAGTCAATGAGTCAAGGATGACTCCCAAAATACAGCTCACTGTTCACCTTTTGCTCTTTCTCAGGAGTCCTACAGTCTCAAAATGTGGCACATAAAGATGTGCAGAACCCACAACTCTTTCTTTATTTTTTAATATTTCACTCTAAAACTCATTCATTTAAATGTTTTTTCAAATATTTATATCCCGTCCTTCTCAACCCCACAAGGGGGACTCAGGGTGGCTTACAACTGGCAGCCATTAGATGCCAACAACAACAAACAGTCACAATACAAAGCAAATTAAAATTAAAGAGACAATTATAAATATACATTAAAATATCAGAACTTTAAAATATTAAAATATAACCAAGCCCAATCTCAAATCCATCTCAGAGTCTAAACATCCAGTCTGAGGTCTATCTATTATCCATTTCCATGAGTCATTGCAGTTACTGTTCACTCAGCTGCCCGAATGCTTGGTCCCAAAGCTATGATTTGACTGTTTTTCTAAATGAAAGGAGAGAGGATGTCAACCTGATTTCACTGGAGAGTGTATTCCATCGACGGGGGGGGGGGGGGGGGGCCCACCACGAGAAGGCCCTGTCTCTCATCCCTGCCAACCACACTTGTCATTCATAAAAGCCCAGGGCCACCACAAAACACATCATCTTCCAATCCTCCTATGTATACTCCAAACTTTTAAAAAATGCAAGAAAGGACTGAAAAGTAGCTCCAAATAGAAATTACATAAGACACTTCTCTTCTGTCTCAGGGGTACAGATATGACCTGTAATGGTGAAAAGTGGCCTACACTTTATGGTGATCATGCTTCTTTCCTCCAAGAAAAAATTCCCTCACATGCCAGATTCACTGTTTACCATTCTACCACAAATGCCTGATTTAAAAAAACATTTCTGATAAATAATCTTTCAAAGGGTTGCTGTGAGTTTTCTGGGCTGTATGGCCATGTTTCAGAAGCATTCTCTCCTGATGTTTCACCCACATCTATGGCAAGCATCCTCAGAGGTTTTGAGCTCTGTTGGAAACTAGGCAGGTGGGGCTTATATATCTGTGGAATGTTTGAGAAGTTTGAACACTGTGCATAAAGTGCACACCTTCACCATGAACTTACTGTGAATTAAAAGCCACTACAATTGGGCTATTCAGATCTCTTTCCCTATGGCTTCCATATGTCCATTAGCTGAGCATGAAGCGAAGTAAGAGAAAGACACATATGAAACATCTCTGCATATTTTCCCACTCTGATTCCTTTCTCCTAGGCGTCCCAACTAAGTCTTCCTTGTCACTTTATTTCCTACTCTTGTCAATTCTAGTCCTTGATAGTCTTCAGTTCTTCAAGAATGACAGCAACGAAAGAAAGTTCTGAAAAGTAGAGCTTAATCTGCTTTATTGTTTAAGATATGTGTCCTGATTGAATTGTTCCATGTTAAGATTTCCGATGTGTGTTTATACTTCTATACTTTTAAAACAAACGGAATGAGTTGAGTAGAGAATGGATGAAGTTCTCTAACTCATCTCCTATCAATCCACTAAAAAGCTTTAATGGATGAAGCATAGCACAATTTATTTTATTTTCCTTAAGACAGAAGGAGGGGGGTGGGGGGATAACGCACAACAGCTGACTTACTTGTAAAAAGGGCAGGTTGACGTCCACACAGCACCATTGCTCTTTGTTCCCTTCCAACAGAAGTAGTTTCCCACCAACTCTTTCACTCTCTTCAGTGTTCTATGTTCACAAGTGTATGATTCAGCTGTACAACCTAGGTGCAAGAATAAAATAAGGAGAGCATTGGTATTCATTGCCTAAGACCAGAAGCTTAACTATATATTTAAAAAGAACCATGGCAAAGTAGGTTTTGTTTTGTATAAAGGAGATTTCATATTTAATTCCTGGCAGCATCTTTGATTATAAAGATCAGAACGTAATTATTGGCATGACAAGACCCTTTTTATCTGATACCACTGCTGTAGTTCAGAAAAGACAGGACAAAATAGGCGTTATCAGCATACTTCTTCCTCGCTACAAAATGTTTGTCTTCCTTTGCAGAGCTAGTGCCAATTGAAGCTGACATATCTCATGTCCATACATCCCTTCTAAAGACCTTTTGAGATCTTATCCCCCTTTTGAGGGGTTGGGAGGACATTTCTTGACTAAAATGAATCCTACTGTCTATTTTCTGCTCCCTAAAACCTGCTGAACTTGCGGATTGAAAGGTTGGCGGTCAAATCCAGGGAGCAGAGTGAGCTCCCACTGTTAGGCCCAGCTTCTGTCAACCTAGCAGTTCCAAAACATACAAGTGTGAGTAGATCAATAGGTAACACTTTTGTGGGATGGTAACGGCACTCCATGCAGTCATGCTGGCCACATGACCTTGGAGGTGTCTACGGACAACTCTTCGGCTTAGAAATGGAGATGAGCTCCACCACCCCAGAATTGGACATGACTAGACATAATGTCAAGGGGAAACCTTTACCTTTTTAAAACCAGGCTTAGGTGCAATCTTTTAAAGTTTCAGAGTCTAAGGTGAGAAGAACAGAAAAATTACCACCTCAACCACGCAGCCACATCCAACCTACAGATCATATAATTCTCACTTCTCTTCAAAAGTTTAGAGCTAGGAAGAGGCATAAGGTTTCTTCCTTTACTGTTTCTCCAACACCATCTTTGCTTAAAACAAGAAGCATCTGGCATCTTCAGACAGTTCTTACGTTTGAGCCACCTTGTTTCCTGGTATCCTACTGTTTGTTGATCTAACAAAAAGTGGAAACTACCTGCAACTTTGAATTTCTCCTAGTGTTTCAGAAATACTCAATACATCAGGGTCTCACAGATAAGCCTATAGTTGAAAGTAAAACCACACAGAGAGGAAACTGCACTGGCAAAAGCAAAGAGCCCAGGATCAGGCACTTTGCCAGGACTTCCCATCTAATGTGGAAGTATACAAGGAACTGGTATACACACACTTACAAGCTCATAAAGACAAGTAGTCGTACAAGCAAAAAAACTAGTTCATGAAAATCTGGTTCTGGGGGCGTGGAGAAATGCACCAGACTGTTAAGCCCCTCTCTTGGGACTTTCTGTTCCTTCCTCCTTCCTGATAAGAGGAAAGAGGTGACAGATTAGAAATCGAGGCTTCAAAGAGGAAGAAAACATTAAACACTGGTGGGGAAAAGAAAAATAATACAAAAAAGATGCCTGCAACAGCCGGTGTTCAAAACAAGATAAAATGTAAAATTCTTTTAATTGGTGTGCATCAAGCAATTATTCATTACCTGGAAATGCAGCACTGCAAATGGCGGACCTGGTGAGCGTGGTGTAGAAGCCGTTTACGGCATCATCAGTGTCTTCTGCAAAGAGCAGGTGCCAATCTGTTGGCTCACTAGCCAGAATGTGTAGTTCTTCCCATCTGCAAATAAATAAACCTGATGCAACAAATATAATCCTGTGACCCTGCAGTCATTTCATGGTAAGTAACACTGAAGATCCAGAAGATGATTAAAAGAGCACAAAGTATTGATCCACAAAATATGACAACATTCCTCCTGTTTTCTTACCAACAGATAACATTATTTTTATTTTTATCACTTCAAACAGATGTTAGGCCACAATGGTGGTGAAAGGTATTTCACATGGTCAGTGTGGTACTACCAAGTTTTCTTTTCATGCTTTAAAAATGATTTCAAACTGTTTTACACAGTGCTTAGTTTTAATATGTCTTATTAATTGCTCTTTAGCAGTATTTTGTTTTAGCTTACATTGTGACCTGCTGTGGTTTTTGCACTGGGTAAAAGAAAAGATTTCTCCTGACATTAAGTCTAACTGTGTCCAACTCTTGGAGTTTGTGCTCATGTCCCTTTCTAAGCCTAAGAGCCGGAGTTGTCCATAGATGTCTCCAAGGTGATGTGGCCGGCATGACTGCATGGAGTGTCGTTGCCTTCCTGCAGAACAGGGACTGGAGCTGTGTGTACCTATTGATCTTCTCACATTTGCATGTTTTCAAACTGCTACGTTGGCAGATGTTGGGGCTAACAGTGGAAGCTCACCCCGCTCCCAGGATTTGAACCGCCTACCTTTGGTCAACAAGTTCAGCAGCTCAGCGGCTTAACCCACTGTACTGCCAGGGAAATAGTAGGATGTTAAATATTGTTTAAGTCATACACCTGGAGTTTCAAGCATCAATCTTCTCTCATCCAACATAGGACTAAACCTGGGGCCATCTGTAAATCATGCAAGTCCTGTAGCAACTAAACTACAACTGGCACAGCAGCCATTGCTATCCTTTTCTATAAAATGTTGTAAAAACTTTAAACCATTTTCTGTTCACAGAACATTTGGTTTAATGAAATGTCTTCTAACATCCCCATTTATAACACCCTTGTGTATATCTTCTCCTACTCACACAAACAGTCAACCTTCCACATTCACTTGGGTGCAGGATGCAAGACCCATGCAAAAAAGGAAACACTGCATATTTTTTAAAAACGCCGTTTTTTAAATTCAAGAAATACATTTTTAGATCCTCCAATATTTGACCATAAAATCAATTTTAATCAAACCAATGAATAATCAAATCTACAAAAGTTACACCCACAAATGTAGATGGCCAACTGTACTCTTAGTTGTATGGTTAATTTGCAGAGTCACAGGAAATGCGTGCACCTTTAAAATACAACAAACTCATCCCTGGTGGCAATCTCTTCTGTCCCATCCCTCTGCCCTTTATCTCCATTCTGACTAATTCACTTCTGTATTGTTTTCTGAGCAAGCATTTACTCCTATTGCCAATGGTTCATTGTCAATCAGGAGTAAGTACGTCATGTGATTTTTTTTCAGAGTGAGGAAAAGTGGCTATTCCAGCTGGAGCATTTTGGGAGTTATGTCCAAAGTCTACATTTTCCACACTCTGATCTTTTCACACCCTAAAGGGTAACTTACCTGGGGAAGTTGACTCCCACTGCAAACACAGTAATTCCCATTTCTTTTAATTGCTTAGCAGGTGCAGCTATGTTGCCTTGAGATCTCCCATCAGTAAGAATAATAAGGATTTTGGGTACTGTGAAATTCCTGCTCCCACGGAATCCCTTCCGAAGGATGTATTTCAGAGCAAGCCCTGTTTCCGTTCGACCACCTCTAAGGGGAACAAGAAAAGAAGACAGAATTAGGATGGCTTTGCTTAGGAGGATACAATTTCCATTCTGTTCTCAGGGGTAATGCTAGACTACAATTTCATTGGAGAGGTAAAGGTAATATAAGGCCTTCATTGGAAAATAGAAAGATATTCCTTGGTGTATTTTGGCCTTCCTCTGTTGGTGATCCGGAAGCTCAAGTTGGTACAAAATGCAGCTGCTCGGCTTCTTGCGGGGATTCCGATGAGATGCCACATAATCCCAATCTTACTACAGCTGCATTGGTTACCAATTTCAAAGTGATGGTACTCACCTTTAAGGCCTTGCATGGTCTGGGGCTGATGTATCTGAGGGACCGCTTCACCCCCTACCAATCCCAGAGATCCCTCCGTTCTGAGGACCAAGATCTATTGGAAGTCCCCAGTGTCAAGACCTTGCGTCTAACAGCAACCAGACGCAGAGCCTTCACAGCAGTGGCACCATCACTCTGGAATACTCTGCCACCTGAAGTCTGTGCCTTGCGGGACTTACCATCTTTCCGCAGGGCATGTAAGACATACCTGTTTCGACAGGCTTTTAATGTTTGATATTGTTGTTTTTAAATTGTTTTAAATTGCTTTTAAATTTTGTTAGATTTTAGCTATTCTTGTAAGCTGCTCCGAGCCACAGGGGAGTGGCGGCATATAAGTTTAAATAATAAAAAATAAAATAAGAACAATTACTTTCATCAAGCATTGCCACATTGCTGCCTTCCAGCTCTCTCAGACTACAACTCCCACCATCCCCAGCCACACGGCCAAGGAATGATGGGAGTTCTAGTTCAACAGATCAAGAGGGCGTCGGTTTGGAGAAGACACATACCAGCGATATATGCATAACCTCATGTATGCACAAAGTCATATATATATATATACACAATATTTGTAAATACGTATTTGAAAGATGAACTACATTTTGTGCACTCTCTTAACCTGCTGCTACTTTCATTTTACAGTGTGATGTGAAGAGACAGTATACTTTTCCAATAAGGTGAACATAAAAGGGGGCCATCTTTTGAGGCAATACATGCTCCTCTTTTAATGCTAATTTGCTTTCATTCATCTCCTGCTTTACCCCCTAAGAACAATGGATTTTTTTCACTCCTTTCTTCCTTTTTCATTATCAAGTTTTTAAAAGATCAGAAACTCTAGTAAGTGATTACTATCCTTAATCCTTTGAAACTCACAAGAAAGAGGCACAAGGCTCTGGAGGCATTAACTCTGTCCATTCTTCAATTTTCTGCTTAGAATTGCTCTACCTCCCTGTTAACCTTGCCATATATTGGCAGTCCCCAATTACGAACAAGATAGTTTTTATAGGTTTCTTTTTAAGTTGAATTTGTATGTAAGTTGGAACAGGTACGTTTTTAAAGTGTAACTCCAGCAATATATATATATATATATATATAGAGAGAGAGAGAGAGAGAGAGCGCTTTGGATAGCATAAGGAAAGGTTCACACCTCTGTGGTGCTTATTTTGTGGACTGTCCAACTGTTCAGTAGATTTCACCTCCCTTTCTGCCCCTGTGATAATTGGATCTTGAAAAAAAATGGCTTGTTGTGGAAACCAGGATTGGCTAGAAAGCTTCAGTAGAGACACCTTTTTTTGGAAAGCCATGACCTTTTAGAATTCATAAACTTTTGGAAGACCAGGAATCTCCACAGCCAAAGTATGATCTTCCTAAGAAGAGTTAAATACTTATTTGAGTGAATCTTCTCCTAAGTGGTAAATATCCACTAGTATTCATGCAAGGCAAATTAGGCTTCTCAGTTGTTAGATTATTATACCTGGTTATCGCTCTGAACTGTTAGGAAAAAAGATATGCGAAGGCACAAAATATAAAGCAGATCTTCAGAAGTGTTAGTTCAGTTGCAAAAAAACCCCCACAAAAAAAACAAAAAAACAACTACTCTCCCATAAAATATATTGCTTTAAAATCATGCTGACAAGAGACCAAAAATAAGCAGTCTTCATTAAAAGTAACATACAGTTGAGTCTCGCTTATCCAATATAAACAGGCTGGCAGAATATTGGATAAGCGAAAATGTTGGCTAATAAGGAGGGATTAAGGAAAAGCCTATAAAAATGTCAAATTACGTTATGATTTTACAAATTAAGCACCAAAACATCATGTTTTACAACAAATTTACAGAAAAAGCAGTTCAATACATGGCAACGTTATGTATTACTGTATTTACGAATTTAGCACCAAAACAGCAATGTGTTGAAACAGATGTGGATCCGGGTGGGAGGCAGACTGCGTTGGATAATACAGAACACTGGATGAGAGAAGGTTGGATAAGCGAGACTCTACTGTAGTTCATTTACTTACAAACTTAATATATTCAGCACACAGAAATGTTTCTTATTGGCTGAAGTTTAAACAGTAAGTTCTCTAAAGCATTCTGTTTTAGTCTCTTCTTTGTAGCATACAGGCGAACACTCTCTTCAGTCTAATACATTACTCAACATTGACTCAAATACTAACACTGCTGTCTTCACAAACTGTACTGACTTCTAAAATGTACTGACTTCTAAAAAAAGGAGTCTCTGTCTGAATAGTCCCAGATATGGTAACATGGTCTGCAGTCCCTCCCACAACCTCAAACAACATAGAGTTAAGGGAAAACACATACCAAATCATATACATACAATATAGTAAGCAATCACAAGTATATACATAACAAATAACTAGTATAGGAGGCTTGTAGAAGGTTACTTTTCCCAACACCTTTTCCCCATGATAACTCTTCCAGGAGTGAATTTCCTTTCCAAAGGGTAGCTTTCTCTCACTTCCCGTTGTCTCACCCATGTTCTTAACTATGAATCATTTGTAAGTTGGATGTTTGTAACTCAGGAACTGCTTGTATAGGGCTCCAAAAACACTCTAGTCTGCTGGCATTCTTTAAATTTCATCACTATATCATTAGAGAAGGGAACACAAATGTTGTTAGACTTTGCTTGTTGTTGTATACTTCCAGTCATTTCCAACATATGGCAATTCTTAACTGGAGAATTCTGGGGCAGAGTGTGAATGAATTGCTCAGGGTTGGCCAGTGGATTTTTATGGCTGAGTGAGGATTTGAGTCCTGGTCTACAGAGTCCGGTGCTCAAACCACAGTGCTATATTAGCTACCTTCCTCCAAGCCTTTCCTTTGCCTTATTTCTTGCTCTTCTGTAATGAGCTAAAGGCTCCAAGAAAGTACAAAGTAGAGGATGCAATGGATTAAAAGATCAAGGGCAGAAAGATAGGAGAAACTTGACTTCCTGAAACAAAGAAAAACAAAGGAAATGGTTTCTGGCCATCAATGGTGGCTACTGGCTCTGTGTCAGCGTAGAGTTGAATCTATTTTGGGTTGTAGCCCCAACTTTGAAAGCACTATCTAAGGTGTAAATCTATTGTAAATACAAGATTCGGCATCTCTGGTGGCCTCTAATTTCCTGAGTATATCCATTACCCCATTGATATGGGAGCCACCAGCTGTCATTGCTGGCAACTCAAATATCTTTGGTTTACTGGTCTATTTCTCCAAAAGAGATTTGATCCTCACTGTCAGGGTGAGTTCTCATCTCCTGCTAATATGAGGGTTGAATGAAAAGTAATGCCTCCACCTTTGTTATTCCTCAACAGATGGCAGTACTGGTATGTGACAGATACTGGCTTGTTCAGTAGATTCTCCTCTACAGTTCCATTTTAGCAGGAAGCCTTAGCATTGAATGGTTGTGTTGTTAAAGTGTGAAGTATGGAACCCTGCGCAGACAGTCAGTCAATGTGACTTAGCAACATGCAGTCATTGAATTCTTGACAGCAGAAGGTGTCAGCCCAAAGGAGCTTAATCATAGAATGCAAGCTGTTTATGGGGATTGTTTTGATGTGAGTACTGTGCATCATTGGAAGAGTTAAGTTTAAAGATGTTGAGGTGAGAATATCTGACTTGTGTGACAAACAAAGAGTTGGACATCCTGTGACAGCAACCACTGAGTTTCACAAGCAAAAAGTTGACAGATTGATTCAGGACGATTGTCGTATCACTCAGAGAGAAATTTCAAGCAAAATCAGCATTTCACAAGAACTGTGGGTCACATTATTGCTTTGCTTTGCTATCGGAAGATCTGTGCATGATGGGTACCCAGGACGCTGACGCCTGAAATGAAAGAGCACAGATTTGAAACTTCAGAGACTGGATCTCACCACCATATGACATCCTCCATACAGTTCAGATTTAGCACCGTCTGACTTCCATCTGTTCCTGATAATGAAAGAAGATCTGCAGGGATATCATTATGCTTCTGATGAAGATGCTGAGAGAACTGTGAGACGCTGGTTGCGGAAACAGAATGTCGATTTCTTCTGTGATGGCTTTAGAAAACTTGTTCATTGTTGGCAGAAATGTATACAATTGTCTGGTGATTATGTGGAAAAGTGAATAGTGGTAGTTAAAGAGCACATTCTAAGGATTATTTATGTGTTTGGTTTATTAAAATATTCCCATCCAAACCCAAGTACCGAAGACATTGCTTTTTATTCAACCCTCGTACTAAGTTCAAGGAATTGCCTGGAGGTGGGAACAGTCAAGTCACCATAGATAAAATCAAAGGAAACTCTTGAACATAAAAACAATCATTTCCCAAAGGAGACAGTTCAATTTTTCATCTGAAATGAGGCACTAGGTTCTATATGCCAAGATTCATCATCCTGCCCACTTTTCTTGTGTTATAAAGATTTATGGTGTGCTAGAGTCCACTGCAGGTGTAATTTCATCTCTGCCCCCACACTTCCGCTTCAACATTTGTAAAATGTTAGTGTTTATGACTAAGTGTGGTTCTGAGAATCCGCTTGGATCATACTAGCTGATCACTGAGTGTATTAGCAAATCATTTTGGCTGTCACAACCAGTTTTCTTTGTTTAATGTTTTGCCCTCAGGAAATGTGTGCTTAAGATACATGGAACATTGAGTACAAGAACTAGATGGTTAAATTGAAAATGCTACTCTGTAATAGGAAAGTGTACAAATGGTGAGAAAAAGAAGCAAACCTGCATCAATAAAAGTGTACATAAGCAAACCTAACAAATATTTTAAAAAATTGTGAAGGGATAGTACTTTTATTGTAAACTATGTATGTAGCTAAAATAATTAACATTAACTAAGGTATGCCAATAGGTACTAGTTTCAAAACCATATCACTATTATTTCATAATTGCTGTTTATAAAAGGTAAAGGTTTCCCCTTGACATTAAGTCTAGTTGTGTTTGGCGGGATGGCGCTCATCTCCATTTCTAAGCTGAAGAGCCAGCATTGTCTGGAGATGCTCTAAGGTCATGTGGCCGACATGACTGCATGGAGCACCATTACCTTCCCGCTGAAGGGGTACCTATTGATTTACTCACATTTGAATGTTTTCAAACTGCTATGTTGGAAGAAGCTGAGGCTAACAATGGGAGTTCATCCTGCTCCCCGGATTTGAACTGCTGACCTTTCAGTCAGCAAGTTCAGCAGCTCAGCGGTTTAACTCACTGCACCATCGGGAGCTCCCTATGCTGTCTATAGAAAGGAACAATTAGTATGGTATCCTCTTATATTGTCCCAGCAAACTTCTCTATTTTGACTTTTACAAACAATGACAGAACAAAAGAGTGGGAGTTGGACTAATACTCTACCAAATAACAAGGAGAGAAAGCCCAAGGGAAATGGTGATGCAGTTATTGGAAATCTAAGCATACAAGGAAACTCAAGGTACAGGATTGGTCACAAGAGAGACAGAAGGGATACATGAGTGATGCCATGAGAATAAATGAGGAAGACAATGGTAAATTCCTCTGAATAAATCTTGTCAAGAAAACCCCATGATAGATTCTACTTGGGGTAACATGAGTTGAAATGATTTGAAGGCACATTGCAACAAAGCATAAGAAGATATATTTACTCGTTTCAGAGGACAGGGGAATCAAACAATTTCACCTCCTGGTCATTCAAAAATCAGTTGGAAATTCACTCAGTTCCTTCTGGTTCTTGGACACTAATGCACAAGGACTCATTGATATGCACTTTTATGGAGACAAAGACCACAGTGTGAACAACTAAAACTGGCATAGGCAATGCTGTAGGGTGCAAGGACAGCTTAAATGGTTATTAGGAATCCCAGAGACTTTTCTGGTGAGGAACAGTTGCAACGCCACTTCTTACAAAATTTGGAATGGACAGCCTCTTCTTTAAACCCAGTCAATCTAAGGAGGAGCTTTCTGACTGCTAGGCTTAACTCCTCTAAAGTTTATTTGCCCTCAATCAAGGGGAATATAGCTTTTTACATTTATTCTAGATGCACAACTCATATTTCCTTTGTGAAGAAAAGCCTGGAGAGTTTCACAACACATTAGATTCTATGACTCACACAAATGTTGTATGGAGCCCAGCTTGGCCCCTTTTCAAATTATGCCCCACTAGAGTGTGTTCAATCAAATTTCCTAAGATCAGCTCTACAGGCTCCCAGATGTGTCTCTAACACCACCCTGTGATTGGAGACAGGCTTCGTGAAAGTGGAGGCAAGAGTACGGACAGCGATTCTCAACTACTGGCTACACCTATCCTGCTCCCTACATCGTCTTGCTCCTCTAACCATGAAGGGTGACTTCCAGTCCAGATGGACTAAAACAGTGGCAGAAAATATCACAATACTAGGTTTCTCCCAAGAAAAATGGCTAAGCATGAGACAGGACCAAGCCAAGGATCTCATTAAGCAATGGAACCTGAACGTAGAGTGTCAGTTGGACTGTTAGGAATTCTTCATCTTCAGAAGAGGAAGGGGATCAGGGAAGTGCTCAGGAATTGGAGAGAGAAGAAGAATCAGACGATGAGGGTTTGAAAGTGCCCACATTTTTAGAGAGATGAAAAGAGACAGAGTACAGACGCCATTCAGCCAGAATAGCTGCTAAAAACGCTGAGCTAATTGGGAGATGCCTTACCACCTCCTGCTTGGGGAATTCAGGGCTATAAATCAGAGGCAAGAGTAGTCAGCTTTTGCTGTTAACAATGACCTTGATACTGCTGTATTCCTATGGAATCTGCTTTGTGTCTCCTGCTAAGAACTTAGTTCATCATCCGTTGTCTGATGGAAGACTGGTGTTTCTTTTGGGACTTCGTAAGAGACTAAAGTTTGTATCTGGATTAAGAATTCCTCGTTTTCTTTTGCACTTTTCAATTGCATTTGTTTATCTTTTGTGTTTGCTGGAGTAAAGCATTTTTCTTTTACTTTCAAAATTATTTAAAGGCTGTTTTTTGAAGGGCAATTCAGGACACTGACCTAGCCTACTCCCCAGCCTTTATTAGGGAAGCCAATAGATAGCTCACTGCCCCCATGGCATACCTATCAGATTTGGAGGTGCCCAAATACCAAAGGGCTATTACCCTGGGAAGATGTCATGTTGTCCCATCAGCTGTACTGAAGAGGAGGTATCGGAAGACCCCCTTCAAGGAGAGATTATGCCCTTGTAAGTCCAGACACATAGAAACAACTGAGCATGTGCTTTTTCAATGTATGTTCTATAGGGTCCTTAGAACTAATCTCATTACACCATGGCTTCTAAAATATTCAGGGCACACCGAAAAATACTACTCCACCCTGCTGCTTTTGGACTCTAGCACTACAATAACTTACAGTGTTGCTAAGTTTTGTGCTGCCGCACTTAAAATTAGATGGATGATGATCGACCCCAAAAGACAACACCCTGTCAGGAATGTAATTAAAGCAACCTGTTACAGCAGAAATGCTACTAGACTTGTAATGTGCCCCTCCCATCTATGATTTTAAACTTTTCTAATCTGTTTTTTAATAACTGCTTCATTGGGGAGCTGTGCTTCCCCTTCCCAGGTCGCTTGGGCCCTGCTTTGTGCTGCCCAGTGACCATAATAAAGTTTTGTATTGATTCTGTATCATGTGTGAGAAGATGCAATTTCTACTTGGCTTAGATTCTGGAATATAAGGTTGGTTCTGTGTAATCTGACCTGTGTTATTATTTGATTTCAACACAAAAGAAACAGCCTATTTCTAGTTAGCATTCCAGACAATGTTGTAATAAAGCAACAGTTGCTTCCTTCTGTTTTCTACGCCTGTCAGGGGAGTTCTTAATAGAGCCCATTTCCACTTATTGTCTCTTAGCACTCCTTTTATTTCAGTTCAAAGTGATTAGGGCAAAGCCAGATGTGTAAAGTAAACACCCTCTTTAGAGCACACCCTTCTTCTCCCACTCTTGATTCAGAGCCATGTTTATTCTATTTATTTTTTAAACTAGCATTATTGTCATTTCTTCATTTCCTGGTGCATTCAGTATTTGATCAGAATCCTTCTTTGTGGTGCCTTGCTCTTTAATCTACACACTTCTCTTTGTATCAGCCTGTAATTCTCAGTGCTCTAAACTCCTGCCAGAGTGGGCTTTGATCTTCTGAAGGTTTCTTCTCTATTCCATCCTCCAACATTTCTCCCTCAAGCTACATGTCAGCAACACATCAACAGACTAGCAACAGCAGTCGTATTTTCCCTCACCAGCTGCATTTTGTCATTGGTCATTCTTTTTACTTCCAAATGACTCAAAATGCTAAATAATGCTGCTTTTTCTGATACTGTCTTAGATTCTATGTAATGAAGTCTGCTTGGAGAACTCCTTCCAATCCATGCATTAGTGCAAGGATGGGTTCCACACCACTCAATTATTGGTATTTGGGTACCGCTTTATCGGGTTTGGTACCATCCTATGGAACCTGAGGGGTGTATTTTTATAAAGTGTTAGTTTAGGTACTTGGTGATGCCTGGATTAGATAATTTGTAATACTATTTATTAGAAAAAGGCAGTATTTGCTTTTGTTTTTTTTATGAATGCACCCATTAGAATATACATAGGGATGTGGGTGAACTATAACTCCCAACATCATACGTCATTTCCCCGCTAACCCTGCCAGTATTCAAAGTTGGCCATATTGGGTTTATGTGCCAAGTTTGGTCCAGATTCATCCTCAGTTGGCTTCACAGTGTTCTTTGATCGTGGGTGAACTACAATTTCCAAAATCATGGGTCAATCACTTCCAAACCCCACCAGTATTCAAAGCTGGCTATGTTGGGCATGTATGCCAAGTTTGGTCCAGGTCCATCATTGGTTGTGTTCACAGTGTTCTTTGATTGTTGGCAAACTACAATTTCCAAAGTCCAGGTTAATGCTCCCCAATCCTCACCAGTATTCAAAGTTGGCTATGTGGGGTCTTTGTGCCAAGTGTGGTCCAAGTCCATCATTGGTTGGGTTCACGGTGTTATTTGATGGTGGGTGAACTACAATTCCCGAAGTGTGGGTCAATCCTCCCCAAACCCCTCCAGTATGTTCTGTTAGTCATTTGGGGGGGGGGGGGGTCTATGTGTCAATTCAGGTCCAAAATTTCCCAGAATAGCAGGGTGCTAAATATGTGACGTCTGAAATCTTTCCCAGCTTTATCATCCTCTGATCCAAGTCAATAATACAGCTGTCAAACTGCCAGAATATAGATATTCATGAACAACTATTTGTTACATCTTTTTTAGCAACAGTTAATAAAAGCCAGTTGTGAGTAGAAGCAACATATATATTAATCTTACTTGAATACAATCCTCTTTAGTTTGTCTTTTATTTCATGTTTGATGAAATAGGTATCCAGCGAGAATTCCAAGTAGGCTGTATTACTGAACTGTATTGCTCCCACTCTGACCTGAAAGAACAAAATAACATCCATAAGGCTCTGTACTACTGTGTTGCTATTCCTAGGTCTGGAAAACCCATAAGATGGGTTATGAGTAGATGAGTGTTATATTTAGACCTACAATTTGGGTTCTCAGCTCCAGACTTCAAGGTAATGGGAGGAATCTCAGAGTGATGGCACTGCCTTTGAAAGGGGGATATATAATTTCCTCATTTGCTAGACTTGGTGTTTTTAATAGAATGGCACAGGGGTTTATCAGTTGAGGTAGGCAAATCAAATTACAAGCAGGACAACAGCATCTTATGACATTGCTCCTTTCTCACGGGTGGGAAACAGTCTAGAAAGCCAATCAAGGTGGCGAATTGCAACATTCATACCTGCCTCAAACAGACAAGGGTTCTTTCTCCCACCCTGGACATTATACAGATATATAAACCTCACTTGTCTAGTTTCCAACAGACCTCTGAGGATGCCTGTCCTAGTTGTGGGCGAAACGTCAGGAAATAATGCTTCTGGAAAACTCACAGCAAGCCAGTCTAGAAAGCATTTATTTTACAAACACAAATAATCAATTCACAACTTCCTTTCATAAAAGGAATATCTTCCACTGGGATCATGCAGGGAAAAGAGAGGTATCATGTGATACACCCAAGGCAAAAATACTATTGTCGTGGTAAAGCTGCTATTTGCCTGCCACATGTGATAAGCTCCACAGTCTATGGACATGAAGTTGATGCTTAACATATCATGCTCAATAACATCACCAGAGACTGTCTTTATAACATGACACTTGTGACATCATTAAAGTCTGCACCTGTGGCATCACAAAGGGTTGCCCCTAAGTCTTACTCATTAGTCCCAGGCTTGGGATAGTCATAATCTACCATAGAATTCCTTGATGGAAAGCCCTCTAATCAAGTTCACCTTCTATTAAAGGCAAGGATTTTGTATAGATCATTTCCTTCTCTGATTATTCCAGAGTGTTGCAGGTTGTGTATGGAACCATGTAAACTCAGAGTTGGAAATGACTAGACTTAATGTCAAGAGGAAACCATTACTTTTCTCTTTTATATATTATTATTAGGTGGCATGTAACACAAGAGGTGTGAAAAATGTGAAATTGTTTCTGTGTATGCTAAAATTTGGGGATACATTTTATTGTGTTTGAACTTTTATACGATCTGAAAAGAAACCAGTTTTAACAGTCAGATAATTCAAGAAATAATGTCCTGCTTGTATTAACGACTTTCTCCACCTTGCCGTTAAAATCTGACAGTGTGTTTTCCTAATGGTAGGTCCCATGGAGGGAAAGTTAGTCTGGGTCTGTCAAAATTAGTCATTGGATCGGCCTTCCCCTGCCACAAATGAGTTATGATTAAATATGGAAATTGTCACAGTCATTTTTTTTAAACAAATGATAAATTTAATCTAAAACAATTAATTCAATAGCCTAGCTCTGCTTCATATTAATAAACAGCCAAAACTTCTCCAAGGTAAATTGAGCAAGGTTCTTATATTAGGCAGGACTAAAGTTTATATTGTGTTGGTTTAAATTTGGCTTCATGCTTTTTTAAAAAATGAATGTATGCCTAATTTTCTTCACTGTGTCAGATGGTTATGTATCATCTTCACAAACATACTGTTTAGATTTTTGTTGCATCCTTTGGTTGTTCCAGATGGCCTTCCACAGAAACATGCATGCTTGATTTCTTTCTTTCCTGTCCTTATATGCAGTGTGTGGGATGTATCACAGGGCTTACCTTTTCCGGACCAATGTCCAAGGCATCGCAAAGCTTGACTGCTAAATGTTTTGACCTTTCAAAGCTTCCTTTGCCAATGCTGTAAGATCCATCCAACAGAAACATGACATCAACTGGGGAAGAGCAATTCATCACTGGAAGATGACAGAGACATGGTATCAAAATCCATAGCTGTAATGTGGAAAAGACCAGTTGTGTTGGGAGCAAGGGAAAGGGAGATTGGTTGACAGAAGGAAGAAACATGTATACTGAAAACAAAGGTTAACTGGTAATCTTTTAGAACAGAGGTGGGAAATGTGTGGTCCCCTGGCATTTGTCTCCAACTCACATCAGCCCTAGCCAGTGTAGCTGATTGTTGTTGTTTATTTGTTCAGTTGCTTCCAACTGTTCAGGACGTCATGGATCAGCCCACAACAGAACTCCCTGTCAGCCATTGCCACCCCCAGCTCATTCAAGGTCAAGCCAGTCACTTCAAGGATACCATCCATCCATCTTGCCCTTGGTCGGCCTCTCTTCCTTTTTCCTTCTATTTTCCCCATCTTCATTATCTTCTCCAAGCTTTCCTGTCTTCTCATTATGTAGCCAAAGTACTTCATCTTTGCCTCTAATATCCTTCCCTCCAGCGAGCAGTTGGGCATTATTTCCTGGAGTATGGACTAGTTGAATCTTCTTGCAGTCCAAGGCACTTTCAGAATTTTCCTCCAGCACCACAGTTCAAAAGCGTCTATCTTCCTTCGCTCAGCCTTCCTTATGATCCAGCTCTTGTGCCCATAGGTTACTACGGGGAATACCATTGCTTTAACTATGCAGATCTTCATTGCCAGTATAATGTCTCTACTCTTAACTATTTTATCACGATTGGTCATTGCTCTCCTCCCAAGAAGTAAATGTTTTCTGATTTCCTGGCTGCAGTCTGCGTCTGCAGTAATTTTCATGCCTAGAAATACAAGGTCAGTCACTGCCTCCAGGTTTTCTCCCTCTATTTGCCAGTTATCAATCAGTTCTGGTTTCCATAATCTTGGTTTTTTTTTAATGTTTAACTGCAACCCAGCTTTTGCACTTTCTTCTTTCACCTTGGTTAGAAGGCTCCTCGGGTCCTCCTCGTTTTCCGCCATAAAAGTAGTATCATCGGCATATCTAAGGTTGTTAAATGTTTCTTCCAGCAATTTTTACTCCAGCCTTGGATTCATCAAGGCCCACACATAAAATGATGTGTCCTGCATTCAAGTTGAATAGGTAGGGTGAGAGTATACAGCCCTACCATACTGCTTTCGCAATCTTGAACCAGTCTGTTGTTCCGTGGTCTGTTCTTACTGTTGCTACTTGGTAGTTATACAGATTCTTCAGGAGACAGACAAGGTGACTTGGTATCCCTGTACCACCAAGTTATGCCAAGTGTAGCTGATCATGGTTAATAATGGGAATTGCAATCCAGCAACAACTGAAGAACCAGCAATTCCCCATCCTTGCTTTAACTGGAGGTCCATAACATAGTAAAAATTCAAATACATGCCACTTTTTAGATACCTAAAGGCTTCCGCTGTCAGCCCCAGCTTCTGCCAACCTAGCAGTTTGAAAACATGCAAATGTGAGTAGATCAATAGGTACAGCTCTGGTGGGAAGGTAACGGCGCTCCATGCAGTCATGCCGGCCACATGACCTTGGAGAGTTCTACAGACAACACCGGCTCTTCGGCTTAGAAATGAAGATGAGCACCACACTCCAGAGTCAGACACGACTGGACTTAATGTCAGGGGAAAACCTTTACCTTTACTAAAGGCACTCAATCCTGCCTGATCATAGAATCTAAGCAGAGTCAGCCCTGGTTAGTATTTGAGTCAGAGTTCACCAAAAAATACCAGGTCCTTCTGGCTTTATTTTGAGGAAGAAACTGAGTATACCTTGCCTAATAAAACCCAATGAAATTCATGGTATCACCATATGTAAATGGGCAACTTGAAAGCATGCACACACAAACACAAATATTGCCCAAAAAAACCTCGTGTAACAGTATGGTTATTTGAAATGCATTTATGGTTTGACAGAAACAAATTTTATATAGCAAGTTTTATACCAGCATCGGGTTCTTCTGAAACTCTGTCCTCATTTTACCTAAGCACGCACCAACTTGTCTACAAAGGAATAACTAGTTGCCGCCAGTGTTTGTTTGCCAAGGTACAAGCTTCATGTTCTCAGAGAGATGGATTAAGTTAAATTTCTCTTTTCTCCTCCCAGGGAGGATCCTGTGAAAATGTTCAAATCATAACATGCCTCTGGAAAATGGAAGAAATTAGTTTCAATCATTGGAACAATTCTATATCCTTGGGGTGTGGGTGGATGTGGGCATTTAAAGACAACAGAAATAGATAGGGAACAGGGAATTTAATGGTGAAAAGACACTTTACCAAAAGAGAGTATAGCAACGCTATAAACTGGCTGGCCAGCTTATTTGAAGATCATACAGTAAAGTCAAGGTGATTTTTTTCTTAAATCCGAAATCTTCATTCCTTAGGCTATAGAGGCCAGTTTATATCTGCAATCCTTTTGTAGCTCTATTTTTCTCTGTCTCCCAAGCACATATGAATATAGGAAGCCGTGAAGAGAGAGGGGTTGCTTTAAATTTTATTAGAGCAGCAGTATTTGGTGAGGGGGTGGAAACTAGTGTTGTATGAGAAGTCTACTTGCACAACAGCAGGTTTCTCCATCCTCTGATGTGCCCCCAGTTGCTGTCGACCACTCCTTCGCCCTCTATATTTTCAGGGAATGTAAGAAGGACTATAATGTGGGATTGCGAATCAAGCCATTTCAATTTCCTACTAAACTTGAAAGAAAGTCGATCAGTGACAAACTGAACTGAATTCTGTATACAGGATCTTTAAGAACACATATCCTGAACTGCTTTGAACTGGAATATATGGCAGTGTGGGCTCAGATAACCCAGTTCAAAGCAGATATTGTGGGTTATTCTGCCTTAATATTCTGGGTTATATGACTGTGTGCAAGGGCCCATTGTTTAAAAACCTCCCTGGAACTGCTATGTGTATAGCAGTAAAGCAAGGTTTTCTTTTAGCATGATGCTTTAAGCTTCCTCTGATGTTTTAATGATCTGTTATGCTGTTTCTATCCCTCTTATCTCCCAACTGCTAATTATTACCTTTATGTGTGCTTTAAAACAATAGTTTCCCACCTAACCACAGTATAAGTCTGATTCATGGAAAATGTGATATAAAATATGCTAATAAAATAATACAATGGAATCATAGCATTTATAGAAATGATGGTTTATGTCATAACAATAAAACCGCCATGAAACTAAATCAATTTCTGTTATGTTTGGTCTGCAGTTATTGAGATTCATTTTGCTTGTGTGTACAGGTCTGAATAAGAGATTGCTGGACAAAACCAACATTATTAGGATAGGCGACCAGACCAAGCATTTTTAGACCCTGACACCGTGTAACCTGGTTGAAGAATGGAATTATAGATCTTACATGAAGAGATTTTATTATGGGCTTCATCACACTAGAAAATGAATCCACTTTGAATCCAGTTGCTGCCTCCTGCAGAATTCTGGGGTTTGTAGTTCAGGGAGGAGCCTTTAACAGCCTCACCAATCTACAAAGCCCAGAATTTTGCAGGAGGGAGAAACCGGATTTAAAGTGGAATAATTCTCTAATGCAGGCATCCTCAAACTGCAGCCTTCCAGCTGTTTGGGCCTTCAACTCCCAGAATTCATGACAATTGAACAAGGTCATTAGGAGTTCTGGGAGTTGAAGGCCCAATCAGCTGGAGGGCTGCAGTTTGAAGATGCCTGCTCTAGTGTGACGAAGTAGATGTGATCTAGAATTCTAGCCTTATGGGGACTATGTGACTTCCTGTGTTGCATTAGCAACAATGGGCAGAAGCCAGGCAGCAGAGGCTTCCCCCGTCAAATGTGATGAGGTCCTCAGACTACAACCCCAATCAGCCACTAATGGCATAGCCAAATGACAATGAAAACTGTACTCTGGAGGGCTCTCTGGTTGAAAGTGCACAATGTAGCCAGAGTGTATGTGATTTTTGTTGGAATTCAACCCCACACTGCCCAAGTCTCAAGTCCTCAACGAGCAGCAGTTAATTAGTTTAGAAGAAGCTGAGGGTTTCCCTATTCCCATGTTTCCTGTATGACAGTTGGGAATGTATCTAATCTCTTCTCTCCTCTCTGATTCTGCTCTCGTTCTGATTGGTTGTGTAGAACGGATACTCTTCTACTGCAAGCCTTTGCTTTGACTTCTGATTCTTACATCTTCCTATCTGCTGTGTGTATTGAGATCTCTCTCTGCTTGTGTGTCAGGAGAGATGTAGTGATTGGTGTTTTTTCTTTCTCTTTGAAACCTTAGAAGAGATCGGTGTTAAGAGTAGCTCAGATCCAGATATTTACCATAAGAAAGGCAGCTATTTTCTATCGTAAATAAACATTTTGTGATTTTTATGATTGGACTCTGCATCTTTGCTTGCCTAAGTTCTTAATTCTTTACAGCCACATCTAACGGCACTTCACACTTTGCTTGCTATGAGCTTATTTATTTATCATGTCAGGAGCGATCAGGAGCGAACCAAAACAGCAGTATTGCATTAAAACAAACAAACAAACAAACAAAACACAAAGTTTGCAGACTTGGTATTATATTAAATGTCTGTTGACCAGTAGCTGGCCACTTGGAGTGCCTCTGGTGTTGCTGCAAGAAGGTCCTCCATTGTGCAAGCTGAGTGCTCAACTATTAGTATCCTGTTTGTGTTTTGGATGCTCTGCTTTATTTTGGATAATTTTCCCTAACAATTTTAACATATGTGTGACATATATTTGAAGTGGTGAAAGTGCAGTCTTCTAGCTGCTGTTGGACTACAAGTCCCAAAAATCCAGACATTATAGATAGCCAATAATGAAGCAATGGTGAGAAACTCCACATCAATAATGTATATAAGGCTGTTATTGTTGTTTTATCCTCTAATTGTAAGCAGTTTGGCATTTTAATTTCTTCAGAGAGTCTGGGACAGAAAATGAACTATTGTAAATGCAAACATCTCAGTGTCCAAAAAGAACAGATTTTAGAATAGAATATAATGGCAAAAGTATATTATCAAATAATATCGCTTTCTCTTTTGTCCAGCTTTCTATCCAGGGCACCACATCATTATCCCTCTTAGAATAGATTTCTGCCTAGTTAGTAGGATTTAAAATCAGATTAGCACTTCCCCTCCATAACAGATTAAAATAGATTCAAAGTTTGAGTGAATTCCACCGAAGGCACCAAAATTTGTATTGGACAATAACACTGTTCATTACTGTCCATTGATAGTCCATTACAATTCTAATTTAACACAGTAAAAACAGTGAGTTATTTTGGCAATAGAGAATAATGCTAGCTAGAGGTGTAATTATCAAAAAGTAGAGGCAAAATCTATGAGATTTCATAGCCAAAGGAGTCAAGCAGGACAGTTCATGTGCTGTATCAGTAGTAGAGAAGAAAAGTACTGAGAAGGCTGACATAAGAATATTTTTTCTGATTTTACATTACATACACACAATAGAGAGAGAGAGAGAGAGAGAAGGAGGGAGGGAAGGCACAGCTGCCATCAGACAATATTTTATTAAGTAAGGTGTGTGGCACTTAAATGCAAACAGTAGAAGGGGTTTTAATGGGATATTTTGTGCTCTTATCACTTCTATTCTTACCTTTTAATGCATGTTTTAAACTGTTTTAACAGTCTATCTAATAGAATTGTTTAACTTTCATGCAGTAAGATTTTAACTGCACTTCATTTTAACTTGTTCTAAGGTAATTTGGTGTTTTCATCATTAAAAAGCCAGGAAAACAAACAAATAAATCTACGTACTTTAACTTGTCAAGATGTCCTCTGAATATCATATTAAGTCTTGTTGTGAGGAACCATTTTTTTCAGCAATGAAAGGCCTTCCTCATTCTTATCCACCTATCCTAATCTCTCTTAGTTTTAAAATGAGCACCCATTCATATTATTGAAAAGTAGCATTGTATTCTTGAACTCCTACAATAACATCCTACGAAATCTTGGGATTTCCAGTTTGCTGAAGCCTTATTGCTTTTGGCAGCAAATTTTAAATTACTAGCCATTTCATGGGTGCATTTTCCATCACTTTGTTCTTTGTGGATGTTCACTATTCAAACCTTAACCCATTCATATGCACAAATCTCTATTTGGGCTGAGCCAGGGTTATGTTCTGAAATGTGGAACAGGCTTGACACTCCCATGTCTCATTCATGAGGGGTATTCCAAGGGATAATTGGGAAAAGAAGAAATACATATGAATGTGCAGCAAGCTGGAAAAATAGATATTCAAACCACCTTTTGGGATAGGAAACAAATTGACTTACGTTGACCGGCAGCTGAAATTTTTGCAATGATTTCCTGGCTGACATATAGTTCTTGTGTGCTCTGGGACATCAGTGCTGCAGGATCATTAAAATATTGTTAATTAATCTCAGATCAACATGCCCTCTGCTTCTCACTCCTCTAGTTCATTTTGACAAGCTGGATTATCAGAGGCGTAGCTAAGAATCATTATGTTGCTAAAAAGCCAAATGAAATATTAAATAAGTGGAAATTAGAACAAATGATCAAACCAAGGTATCGTCCTAAAGATGTGAGGTTAAGGAGTTTGCAGAAATGATATTACTCGATTATTGTCCTAATTCCATGTCTTGGTTGACCTTTAATAAGCAAACGTTTAGTAAAAGAATGAGATTTGCCCTGCACTGAGTATCAGATTATTCTTGTGTCTCCCACATCATATAAAAAAATCCACCCATTATTATTTAAAAAGTGTAAATAAGATATTTACCTTGGGAAAGCAGGAAAATACAAGTTGATTCAAACAAGAGCAAAAGGCTCATGATTGAAGAACTAGAAGAAAAGAAAGGGAAATGTTACTGCAAGAAAAAGAATGAGATAATTCACTTTTAAAAATTGTGTTCGTAATTTTTTAATTACCATATAAACTAATCTAAAAGGAAAGCCAACTTAGTTTAGTTGTCTGACTATTGGACTATGACTCTGGAGACCATGGCTTGAATCTCCATTGCACCACCTGACATCTGTCAGGAAGTAGCAGCCTGTAATGAAAGGGCCAAGGCACTGACATCTCCGGCCCATCCTCTATTCGAACATCGGCCAGCAAGCCAACACCTTAAATCAAGAAATAGCTTCCTAACATCTATAGAGATTCTCTATAGCAAGTAAGTCCAAAAGTGGCAGGTTAAAACCCGGAACCTCATACCTGATACCAAATGAAAAGCTCCTCCTGGGCACACAGAAGACTGGGCAACTTGGAAAGTGCTAAACAGACTGCGCTCTGGGACCACGAGATGCAGAGCCAATCTTAAGAAATGGGGCTACAAAGTAGAGTCCATGACATGCGAGTGTGGAGAAAAGCAAACCAGAGACCACTTACTACAGTGCAGTCTGAGCCCTGCCACATGCACAATGGAGGACTTTCTGGCAGCAACATCAGAGGCACTTGAAATGGCCAGCTTCTGGTCGAATGAAATTTAGTATAATGCCAGGTTTTTAACTTACTTTGTGGTTTTTCTATACATTATAACTGTATCTCAATTTGCTTCTGACACAATAAATAAATAAATAAATATGGAACCCCCTAAATGACCCTTGGTCATGTCGTACCTTCTTTGACCTAGAGAAAGGTAAAAACTTCCTCTCTGATTTAGAGATGGAAAGGCCTGGAAACAAACCAGAAAAATTGGGGAAAATGGCAAAAAATGGGACGAAATGGGGAAAAAAACAGAAAACTGGGGAGGGGGCAAAAAACCTGTTTTCCCACACAATTTTCCATTTTTTCTAGGCCTTTCTTTCTCTACTCTGACCACAACATGTCAAGAAAATCCTGTGACAGTTTCAGCTAAGGTCGCCATAAGTCAGAAATGACTTGAAGGCATACAGCAACAACAAAGCTAGTGTACTGGAAACAGCAACTGATATTTTTCCCTCTCATAATGTAATGGGAAGCATTATCTGCTCCTTACACATAATTAATTAAACAAAAGGCAGTGTAGGAAAGATTTAGTCTAAAAAATATGAATAGTTGTAGTCATTTAACTAGTCCAGGGGTCAATTAGACAATCAACATAGTACAGTTCCTAACATGTGTCTTGGCAGTAACTGCTCATAACTCCCACACTCTCCCTTTTCCCATAATTTGGGAAGCCCTGGAGGAATACACCTTTAGCTTTTATCTTAGTACTCCTTCTGTGCTGGGAGAGGTGTCCTAATTTCACAGTTCATGAAAAAGATGATTCACAGTGCCAATGCTGGAGGCAGGCTCCATAGTTGTCAATGTTAGGTTGGGCCCAGACCCGTGAAGCTGAGGATCTCAGTTTTCCACTGGTGTTTAGCCTTATTTTTCCTCTGCCTAGATACCTAAATCCTCCAACATTTCACAGATCAAAACCAGGACATGTATGGCCAAGGAATTTTTGAGTGTGGTCAAAATGGCAAAATATTAGTTAGGAAGAATGCACAAACTAGAAGAAGCTAAACAAGCTTGCTTTTCCATAAGCCTGCATGAAAGGTTAATAATTTAAACAAGATAAAACACATTAAATAACTCAGCAGATTACAACACCCTTAAAAGAGTCGGGAAAAGTAATGTTTATTACCCTTAGTTTTTATTCTTCTTTAGATGTAATCTGATCACAGATCAGAGTTTGGATTATTATGAGTTTTTCACAGTTTCAAGGAAGTCTGGATTGTTGGAATGATCATACCCATCAAAACATTTTTCTGCCAATGCAGAGCAATGTAACTCCAATGCCATCACACCATGTCAAGGTGTATAACACCTAAGGCTAACTATGTTATGTTGACTGGCTCTCAAGGCAGAAAACTACTATACAAAATGAAGATGACCATATTCATCCATAAAAATAAACTCATAGTCCAAAACTCATAGGAGATGATACCTTTATTATATAAACTACAATTTCATAGCAATGTGCAAGCTTTTTTATGTTCTCCAGACGTTTAAACAGGGTGGCAAGAAATGGAAGCAGAGAAAGTATAATGAAAGTAGTATGAAAACAGTAGCCAGATGTATTTTGGAGTCCCCAGTGATGCCATGGGTTAAAGTTAACCCTTGTGCTGGTCGGTGGTTCTTTTCTCTTTTGCTCCCCAACCTGTCTTAACTATTTTATCTACTTCTATTCGAGTAAGCAAAACCAAAATGCTGACAAGCCTCTCCCTTCATTTCAATACAATGTCTTTCCAAACAACTTTTAAAAGAGGGAGAAAGAGATAATTTGGAAAATTAAAACAAACTTTCCAAAAATAACTTCATAATAAGGTATCCTGGCTCCAGGCATGTAGCTGGGGGGGGGGGGGCGGCTTGAGGGGCTTCAGCCCCCCCCCCCCAAATTCTCATGGTGGTCAGCGAGTAGGCCTACTGGTACATTATTTAAACTGTTATGTTTATTCATATCATGATCTGATCACCATGCTCATTATATCCCCATATGCATGGGGGTATTGGGGTAACGATACAAAAGGTTTGCTAGGGTAGACCCTCTTTCACTCAGACTCAGCCCCCCCCCCCCCGAATCAAACTCAGCTCCCCCCGAATCAAAATCCTGGCTACGGGCCTGCCTGGCTCACTTATGCATATGGATTGTTAGATACAGGATAAGCGTCTTGCAAAACTGTGGATCTTCTGAAAAAAGGTAACCTAGTTTGGAAAAATCTCTTCTAACAAATGTTTCTGTTATGGCAAACTGGAATATAAGTGATTGTACTGCAGTATATATTCTACAGTATGTATACTTTTAAGATCCTGCTGCTAAAGAAAAGTAAAAATAGTTCTACAGGCTGGTGCACACTTTTTTTGTTGCAGATTACACTTGAGTACCTTTCAAATTTATGAGCTACTTTTAAACCTCCATATGCTGCTCTAAATAGTAGTGGCACTTTTGAATAAACATAGATCTGGCCTCTATCTAGTTGACTAGTGCCCAAGTTTACTCTAGCAAAAACTTTCCATTAAAATTGTGCCTGGAAACCGTAGGCTGGTGACTTTTGCAGAAGGCTGCCATGAGTCACTGGTGAGTGTTGATCTATTCTTTGAGAGTCATGCACTATGCTATATTTAGCCCTTCATTGCCAATTTATACAACTTCATTTAAACTTTGAGATTTCAGATATAGTATCTTGTAGCAGGTTGTGGTCTAGATTCCTGGGAAAGAGTGTATTTTTCTGTACCTTGGCAGACAGGCAAATAAGAACTAGAGATACAAAAAACTTGGTGCTAGTTTTCAGTGGCTTCTTCATCAGGTGCTTAAAAATCCGGCATGGGATACAAAACAAATATCCTGACGGTCATTAAAACATGCTGGCCTGCTGCTTGCAATTTTGATGTTACAATGAAAGTGTTTTCATGCAAATACAAACTTGTGGCTTTTTGCCCTCAATAGAAGGGTCAAAATATATCTCTAGGGAAACATGGCTACAGCAAAGAAACAAAAGTCTTTTCTGTCCTTCCATCACAGCATTTGCCTTTGTTGATCCTCCACTTATCTTCAGGGGTGCAGAGGGAAGTGGGGACATAGCTTTCTGCTTGTATGGAAACATTCTCATTTTAACATTCATAACCACAGTCTGCAGACCAGTAGTATATTTTTGTAGCTTCAACAGTGTCACTTTTGTTTCCCTCTATTATTTTGTTACTAAATGTGCCTGATGCAGAAATGAGGGTGCATAATGCCGTATCTCTTTCTGGTTGGCCTATTAAAGACATTGCTAATATGTGTTTTGGATCTTATTTAATGGTCAACACATCCGCTCCTGTATTTTTTAGACACACGAAGAAAGAGATGGTGCATGATATAGGTTTATCCAAGCATATCTGGGCTTGGTCAGGACAGACAACTGTGGCCTTCCAGATTGTTGGATTACAACTCCTTTCAGCTTTAGTCAGCCAGGCAATGGTAAGAAATGCTGGGAGTTAAAACAACAGCTGGAGGATCACAGTTGCCAACCCCAGATCTAGACTAGTCTGAAGATAAACAGATAGCTCTATGATCCTTTGAGGAAAAATTGTCCTACAGATGTATATGCTGATCTGACATCCACCCATTTGTCCTCTAAGGACCTCATCAGATGGGCGGGATAAAATGTTGGACAGCGGGGTAAGGCATGGGACATTGGAGGGAACCACCAGGCTCTGTTCCCTCCTATCAGGGTATTTTTTCTTCCCATGTCATTTCCCCACTACCTCTTCACCTTCTTTAGTGAGAAGTAGGGTAAACACCCGACTCCTCCAGGGGCACACTGGGCTTCATTTCTCTCCACTGCTGAAATAGTGCCCCAAGGAGCTCCATCAGAAGTTGCCCAGTGTCATGTGATGGGCTCCATGGGACTCTGTTCTGACAGCAGAGAGAAACGGGGAGAAGATGCTCCTCTCGCTGCATCTAATGAAGTCCTAAGATAAATTTATTTGGCTAGAATACTGTCAAAACTTTAGCAGTGGAAGAACCAATTATGATGGTATATTAGTAACGTAGATATTTGACTGTTCCAAGTTACTTGAACTGTCCTGGAACTTCATTCTCCTATTTTTCATATGGACATATGAACTGGCAGTGAGGCACATATGGCTGTCCATATAATGTTAAACTCCTCCCACCAGACGTTCTGATAGCATGGCAATGATCTGGTATTATGGGAGTTCATTCCTAGAATGTATGGATGTCTGGAGATTTCTGTGTTCTGATGTATACATTGAGTCTTCAAAAATACATCTTTTCCTCTTACCAAATATAATCAATCTTTCCCGTCCCAAAAACCTGGATTGTATGCATAGCATGCTGTTTAGAATTACTCAGACCCAGCAACGTGTAGTA